GTGCATATGGGTTTACTCTTTTGTCTCATCAACCATACGGTCCAGTAATAACAAAAAGGTTCAGCTTTTGTTTCCAAAGAATAGTACCATTTGAACTTTGAAGCATCTTATCTGGCAAGACCCAGCCATTATTCCAAGCATCTACAAACAAGGTCTTATAATTAAGATCGGAGGTAGTATTAATAATATATGTATTTGTACCTACTTCCAAGGATTGTTGTATATGTTTGCAAGAAACTGGCTAAGTAACTCTATTTTGGCATGACTAATGAAATAACAAGATGACAGATGGCTAGTTTGTTCAGCTTCAAAATAAAGGGAGCAAAAACAAGTTTAAATGCATTAGTTGCATTAGTAAAACAATAAATAAAAAAAACATCATTAAGCTTTGGTATTGACCCTCACTACCGTGTATATTTACAAGTGTTTTTCAACTCAGCTCTGGAAAAGGTCTGCTTTTGGACGAACCAGCCAACGGTCTAAGAGCTGGAAAACCAATATATGCAAAAATGCAAAGAAGGCAATGTGAATATTAAATTTCTTTGCTTACTAGCAACGTATTAACAGTTTGTAAGCGAAGTATCTCTCAGTCAAGTGTTAACAGTTAATTGGAAGGTCACAATAGAAGTGACATCAAGCCACTTCAAGAAACTTTGAAGTCATACGCAAATTTTTCATAAAATTCTCAAGAAAACTGCAAGTCAAGGCAATTTTCCAGAAATAGTTACAGTATGATGCTCAACATGTTAAATAATTCAAGTATTCATCAAGTCCTTACATAAGACTCCTTGGTTTTATTTGATAGTGACAGGAAATAATAAAAGAGCCCTTAGATGGTAAGAAAAGATTAATTAATTCATTTGCTGGTAAAAAAAAAAAGATTAATTAATTCATACTAAAAGTAAGAGACAAGAAAGAACACAAGATCATTACTAGTATATAGTCGATTCCAAATGCTACCAGAAGCAGTGATGACTTCCAAGTCAACTTGTCTAAACGGTAAGAGGCAAAGTACAAGTGCTAAGGTTAGTGTTGCATAAACAATCAGAACCGAGATAAGGATTGCGAAAATGCCGAAGTCAGGCCTACGACAGTTAGCAAACTTCGGATTTGCCTTTGAAGCAGCTATGGAGAAACTTGAAGGTCGGTAATGTTAATTGAAAAAAATCCACTAAATACTATAATACCTAGGTGCTTCCTTTTCTTTAGAACTTTCTAAAGATTTTTAATAGTTATCGTTTATATAAATTATTCATGATTGAAAAATAATTTTCCATTATCACTAAAATTTTGCTAAGTATGACTGCAAAATAATCTTTTTAATACTTTAATCCGAATACTTAATAATATTTTTTTTAAGAAATAATGTTTTTAGTACATACTAACTCTGGTCTAGCACTAGAAAAACAGGCAAGCCGGCTTAGACCTGTGTCTCTAAATGCATCATTTTGCTAGGCTCGGCCCTTGAGTTAGCAGACTCAAAGTCAGTGCACAAGCTTTCGGCCTGTTTAACTGAAAAAAATAATTTCATTATTTCTATTGACTTGACCAATGTGGCCAATGTGAGACTTGCGTTTCTTTATTTGTAAAATATTTTATATCTTTTCATCTTCATACCTATCACTATCATATTTAAGTATCATATCTAAGTTTTATCTGCTATATATGTATTTGACGAAAGTTACAGTTTTTTTTCCCCCTTTATAAAACACTAATTTCTTCCTCTCAAAGTTAATGGCAAGGCATAATATGGCCAATGAGAGGTGTAAGAAGATTTCATTTAAAAAGCTAAATTTCCAATGCATATAATACAACTTCCTTCCCTAAAAACATTTTTTTTCAGATTTAGCAATATATGAAATAATTTTGCAGATAACAGTTCGATATTTTATAGATAAAGAAAACTATCTAGATCGGAGAAGGAAAAAAACCACAAGTCAATTATATTCATTATTAAATGTTATTATTTTAAAAATAAGATACATGGGTATGTGCCATCGGAGAACTTGATATAATAATATAACTGGAGAACTTGACATAAGGGATATAAAGAATTCGATGCAAGTACCCTTGATGGGAAAATAAGATTTTTTTTGGGGCAAACGAGAAATACAATAAAATAAATCTAACTCGCGAAAATAAATCTCTCCTATAGTCTTTAAAATAAAGACTGAAACAATGATAATGATACGAATCTGAATCGAATAATAGCAGCTCGTTGGTCTCCTACACTCCGATCCCTAATTCGTAATTCCCTCCCGCAAGCAGATGGCCGCTCGATGTGATAATCCGGTTCTGCCCCTGGAGATCATCATTAATATTTTCAAAAGGCTCCCAGTTAAATTCCTTGTTCGATTTCTGTGTGTAAAGATTGAAAGAATCTCTGCAAAACCCCATATTTCATTGAGGAGCACTACCACAACTTTGCCTACAAAAATCCTCTTCTCATCTTCCATTCATTCGGATCCGACCCTAGATATTATTCGTCCTTATGTTTGCTTCATTATTATAAAATGGAATCTGTGGAAGTTGAGAGAATACCAACGACGGACGGCTTACCAAGTCGTTTTCATGAGATCATTGGTTCCTGCAACGGCTTGCTACTTCTGAAACTCGATCATAACGATGATTATTCTCCTCCTTCGCTTTTGATGTTGAACCCAGCGACTAGAAAGGTAAGGCAAGTGGCCAGAATAAACGATGATGTCACCTATGACCATTTTATACAGGGATTTAGGTTTAGTCCTGTGGTTAAGGATTATAAGATAGTGGGAATTCATGTTTATGATGTTAAATATAGTCTCTTCGTGGACGGAGTGGTAGTGTAAAAGTAGAACTTGGGGCTATATGGAGTGTAATATTTGAATCTAGTAATCTAGTAAATCTGTCACTGCTAATGGAGCTATATATTTTGGTTGGGATCTGATGATAGTGACGACAACGACGACGGTGAAAATCAACGTCGTGTGATAGTTTTATTTGACATAGCAATGGAAGTATTTACATTGATATCATTACCTTCTTCGACCTCAGATACTCCTCTCAGTAGAATTGTCCTTATGTGAACGAGGACAAAGTTGTTATGCTTCATCCTTCCTTTGCGCAAGAAGCTTCTTTTATCGATATATGGGTGTTATTGGAAGAGGGTTGTGATGATGCACATGGGAAGAGTTCGGGTTGGACTAAGAAATAGAGAATTGGACCAACCTTACGTTCCTTATATCCAATATGCTTTCGGAGGAATGAAATATTCTGCCTTAAATTTGGTTGTGGGGGACGTAGTTTGCTCAGTTTCACTACTAATAATGAAGTGAAGAAGTTCCACATTACTTTACCTGTGGGCGATGTGAGTGAAGGATTCTTTTATGTAGAGAGCCTCGTGTCTCTGTGTGACACGTGTGTCGAGTAGCCTTGCCATGAATAAATTCTCACTTTTACATTCTAAAGTTACTTTGTCTTGGCAATTTTGATGGAAATGTACCCACAAAACCTTTTGTACATTTTGGTTTTATCTATATTCATCAGTTCTATCTACTTCTGACTTTTTATTATCTTTCTATGGCATCAAATGCTTGAGTTTTACTTGCTATATGTTGTTATTTCATTATTTTACAATTGCGCAGTTTTTTTTAATAACAATTTACTAGAGAGTTTTCCATAATTCTTCCACCTTGGTTGGTACGCGTATTTAAATCTCATATAAGTCGAAATACTTGCTGGATCTTGAAACCAGAAAATGATCTGAGCTTGTGATTTTTTTTTTTTGGGTTCTATTTTCCTGACGTTAGCCTGTATTTACCAGTTTTGAATATTTCCTGTGAGATTATGTTCTGATGAGCTCTGTGACCAGGATTTATTCCTCTGATAACATCTAAATAACCATATCAAGACATGTATATGTGTGTATATATATAGAGAGAGAGAGAGAGAGGTGCACGTGTATATATAGGCTTACTGTGTTTATGAGAACAAAGATGCTATGCTCTGTTTTCACTTTGTAATTAAAAATTCGGTCGCTAATTTCTGTTACCAAAGTTTACAAGTTTAAAAGATTTTATAAATTATTTAAATTTATAATTCAAAAATTTTAAACACGCCTTTATTACAAAAATTTATAAACATATTTAGTCAAGTATATATATTTATTAAAAAAAAATCAGTTAAATTTTTAGTCAAGTCTTTTATATTTATCTTAACTGAATGAAATTCATGTAATTATAAAAATATAATTTAGAAATTTATTGGAATGAGAGGTAAAATTAGTAAATAAAATTTATTTTAATATAAATTTCAGTTAGAGATTATATTTTTAAAATATTTTTAGAATATTCCTAAAACATAAACTAAACTTTATCCATTTATTATCAAGAAATTAGTTAAAATCAGTTTCAAACAATAAATATGCAAGACATATATTTTTTTATTTTAAATATGCTTTTATTAATAAAGAGAATAAGTAAAAGATGCTTTTTTTGTATAAAAAAAAGATGCAATAAATGAATTAAAGAAGAAAGGGAATATATGTAGGAAAAAATTGGAAAAAATTCATTAAATGCTTAAACAAAAATAAATGTTATCTTATAGAAAAAAAAAACCCCTCTAACAAAGTTTAACTTATATTTTGAACTGGAGGAAGTATTAACTAATTGGATTAAAATGTACGTTCTTAAAATAGAAGGGAGTTCTGTGTAATTAATACAAATTAAAAAGGTAATCTAAGTATTTTATTCTAAAAAATAATTTTGCATATATCAGCTCTGTGTTTTATGGATACATAACTACATATATGAAAAACAGGATATAATGAGTCAAACCAATAATATTGAAAATAAAGATTGAGATGACGATAATAATTACAAATCTAATTTAAAATTTAGTAACAGAATATCTATAAAGAGAACAAGGTTACGTGGGCCCAGAAGGCTTGATCTGTACTTCTGAAATCTGAACCCGTCGCGCGATGTACTTATAACGCATCGTCTCCTTCACTCCGATCCCAAATGGCAACCGGAATCGATAAGCCCTTTCTTCCCCACGAGGTCATCGTCAACATTCTCAAAAGGCTTCCTGCGAAATCCCTTGTTCAATTTCAACTGGTCTGTAAATATTGGAAGAATCTCTTCAAAACCGCATATTTCATTGAGGAGCACTGCCAGTTCTCTGCTCAAAAAGACCCTCTTCTTATCTTCCATGCATTCGGCTGCAGCCTTAGATATTCGACCTTATCTTTGCTTCGTTATAAGACGGAATCTGTCGAAATTGAGAGAATAAAAGCGACGGATTCCTTCACTCATGCTTGTGGTATCATTGGTTCTAGCAATGGCTTGATCTGTGTGATACTCAGTTATGATGATGATGGCGGGTCTCCTCCTTCGCTTTTGTTGTTGAACCCAGCGACTAGAGAGGTAAGGCCAGTACCCAGAACAATAAATTATTATGGAAGCTGTGGCGTTTATGGATGGGGATTTGGTTATGGATGGGGATTTGGTTTTAGTCCACTAGTTAGGGATTACAACATAGTGAGAATCCATAATGCTAGGTTTTATTTTAAAAATGGTCGTGCCAGTTTAGACAATTCCTGTGTTGAAGGAGTGGAAATGTATTCATTAAGAACAGGGTCATGGAAAGAAGTAGAATTTGGTCTTATAAAGAGCGTAAGACTCCAATATTCTAAACCTGTCACTGCTAATGGGACTATATTTTGGTTGGGATTGGAGTTTAAAGATGAAGATCATCCTTTGATAGTTTCATTTGATTTAGCAGAAGAAGTTTTCACATTGACGCCAATACCTTCTTCAATCACTGATCCTCGTACTTATGCAAATGTGCTTGATGTGTACGAGAACAAACTTGCTATGCTTCATGGTTACTATTCGTATACGTCTTCTTTTATGGATTTATGGGTGCTGGAAGAGGGAAGTGGTGAATATGGGAAGAGTTGGTTTTGGACTAAGAAATATAATATTGGACCAACTTCATGTTCGTTATATCCAATGTGCTCTCGGAAGAATGAAATAGTGTGTCAAAACATTGGAAGTGAAAAGAATGGTAAGTGGGAGGATAACCCAGCTTTTTATCTGTACAATCTCACCACTAATAATGAATTGAAGAGGTTTCGTGTCTCTATATCTGTGGATAGTATGAATGTAATTTTCAATTATGTAGAGAACCTTGTGTCTATTTCCGATGAGCATGTTGAAGAAGCCTTGCTATGAAATTCTGGCTTTTTACATTCTAGATTTTCTTTGTCTTAGCAATTTAGGTGGAAATGTTCCCACCTAACATTTGAACATTCTTGTTTTATGATTTAATATTTGAAAAGCAAAATGTTACTCCCTTCGTTCCTTATTATAAGAGACATTTGATACTTATGGCATGTTCCTATATATAAGAGGCACTTACAAGTTGTCTCTACTTTTTTGTGTTGATTTACTATTTTACCCATATTTATTATCTCCAACTCACACTCTCTCCCCCTCTCACTTCTCTTTCTTTTAATAATTTAATTGTTCTCTCTCATGCTCTCTCTCCTTATTAATGAGGTCATTTTTGAAAAAAAATTATACTTTTTACACATTAATTGTTCTTAACTAATTTTAACTGTTTTTTTGATCAACGTACTTCAGTTATTTGTCTCTTATAATAAGGAACGGAGGGAGTACTTCAAGAAAGTGGAGACTTGCATGGGCATCAGGTCCTCATTTATGTATTCCTTTCTGGGATGAAGGTGGTACAATATATTAACGTTTGTTTAGACTTGCAACATTGAACCTAGCACGAAGCTTCCTAATCTCAGGAAAAATATTCTGATGAACTATATGGATTGGACTTCTTCCTCTAATAACATCCATATATAACTATATATATCAAGTAAATATACATATATATACTCCTCCGGTCCTTATTATAAGACCCAATTTGACTTTTTATTTGGTCCTAATTATAAGACCCAATCCATTTTGTCTCTTATATTTATGCATTTTTTTCCAAGATAATCCTTCTAATAATGATAGTTTTAGCCAATATACTTAATTAGCAAGGATATTTTAGGAATGACAACACTTATTTATTATAAATAACCAACTTAACTTACTTCCTTAATCTCCTCAAATAAGTCAATTGGGTCTTATAATTAGGACCGGAGGAGTATATGGATATGTATAAGATTCTAATATCAGTTGTTTTTAACAACTCTTAGCCCCAGCTCTTGTATCCACTATCCACCAACTTAGACGCGTGAAGAATATATTAAGAAAAGAGATAGAAAGAAAAGATATGCGCAAACATATAATAATTGGATTTGATATGAAAAATAATGTATAAGATATTTTTATTCAGTATTTTGTATTTAGTATTCACAGGTCAAATTTTTATGGACCCAAATAGAGGTAGTTTTCTTAAACTTGAACTTGAACTTCCATATTTAAGCCGCTATATCTAATTTTATGATGGCAATGGCTTTTTTATGTTATCTTTTCTTCTAAATTTGTAATTTTACTGATGAAGGATTAATGAACTTCAATTTATTTCTAACTATTGAAATAATAATGGTTTGGAATAAAATAAAAATATTAAATAAATAAGAAAAATACTTTTGAGTTTTATAATTTTGACAGGCTCATTCTTTGAGAAAAAAAGCTATTGGGAAAGCCCAGAAGAAAGGAAAACACACACAAAAAAACCTGAAAATTGTGAAATCACAAATCAGGTATATGATGATTGAAAATAACATAGAGGAAAATAAATTTAAACTAGCATTTTAAAATTAAAAAAAATGACAAAAGTGTCCTTTTGATTTCTTTTTCAAAGTTTTAACCCCTGTTGGAGACCATGCCGGTGGTAGGCCACCGCCGCGGCTGGCCATTTGACAGATATTTTTTCTTGTGGCAGTCTTTTTTTTGGTCATGGGAAATTATCTGAGAAAAGTGGTGAGAGTGGGATCTGATCCTACCATCCTATAGTCATTTGGACAAAAAAAAAAAGTAACTAGAGAGGTAAGATACTCTATCAGAACAACAAACGATGATGGTGGTTGTGGCATTTTTGGGCGGGGATTATTTGGGTTTAGTCCTGTAGTTATGGATTACAAAATAGTGACAATTCATAGTTCTAAGTTTAATTTTAACAATATCAAATCGATTTAGACAATATATGAGTTTACCGAGTGGAAGCGTATTCACTAAGAACAGGGCATGGAAAGAAGTAGAATCTGGGGTTATACGGAGTGTAAAACCCGAATCAAAACCTGTCACTGTTAATGGTGGTATATTTTGGTTGGGAATGGAGTCTGAAGATCATCGTCGCATGATCATTTCATTTGACCTAGCAATAGAAGTTTTTACATTGACACCAATGCCTTCTTCAACCTCTGATTCTCATACTCATCTAAAGGGTTGTATGGAAACCAAACTATAGTTTTAAAAATAATATTATGGTATACTGCACGAAAACAAAGTTGGTATGCCTCATGGTCAATATGTTAATAGATCTGCTTTTACTGACTTATGTTTACCACTAATAATGAATTGAAGAGGTTCCCCATCTTTTTATCTGTTGATGATATGAATGGAATTTTCAGTTATGCAGAGAGCTTCGACAAGCATGTTGAATAGCCTTGCTATGAAATTCTCACTTTTACATTATAGACTTTGTCTTGGCAATTTCGGTGGAAATGTACCCACAAAACCTTAGAACATTTTGGTTGTATCTATAAGCATTGATGCCCCGTGTATCTGTTATCTAGAATAGAGAAATTCAGTTCTATCTGCTTCTCACTTTTTACTTTTCTATGTCATCTGATTTTGAGTTTTCCTTACTCTTTTTACTTTTTTCCCCTATCATTACACGCTTTCTTTTTTAAAATTAAATTACAAGAGAGAGCATATTGCAAAAGCAAAATGCTACTTCGAGGGAAGGGAGACTTACTCGTGCATCATGTACTCATTTGTTTATTCCTTTTCCGGATGAAGATGGTATTCAGACTTGCAACATTGTACGTAGTACAAAGATTCCTAATCTCAGGAAAAATATTCTTACGAGCTATATATGAACAGGACTAATTCCTCTGATAGCATATAAATATAACTATATCAATTAATATATATATATATATATATATATAGAGAGAGAGAGAGAGAGGGGCACACGATGCCGCAACGTGATGCAATTTTGTTGTGTGGTGAAATTAAGTGCAGCTCGGAATGCCAGAAACACAGCTTGCATGCTTCCTCCTTGGTTGTGCACGTATATGTCATAAGCCTTTTAGCACTGGTATCAATTAATTGTGCTTCAAGAAAATATCAACTTTGAAACATAAAACCTTTTAAATTTTGATTGTGTGTATAATCCTTAATGCCCTTTAGATCTGTGAATTAGAATGGAGAAATTCAGTTCACTACTAGCAGGTTGCAAACTCTATCTTTGTGTTTTTTATCATCATATGTTCAACATAGGATATATAGTTTAATTGTTGCTATATAAATTATTTGGGTTTTGTTGGTCACTTAATATGCTACTCCTCCGGTCCTAATTATAAGACCCAATTGACTTATTTGAGGAGATTAAGGAAGTAAGTTAAGTTGGTTATTTATAATAAATAAGTGTTGTCATTCCTAAAATATCCTTGCTAATTAAGTATATTGGCTAAAACTATCATTATTAGAAGGATTATCTTGGAAAAAAATGCATAAATATAAGAGACAAAATGGATTGGGTCTTATAATTAGGACCAAATAAAAAGTCAAATTGGGTTTTATAATAAGGACCGGAGGAGTATGAGGCAATGCAATTTGCACTATAGATATTATATTTAAGAACAATTTTATAAAATTATTTTTCAAAAGAAGTTTTGAAAAGAATAATTGTTTAGACAATTATTTTAAAAAAATACATTTGAAAAAAATACAAGACAAAAAATACATTTGAAAAAATTACGAGACCTGTTATCTACATCATCCAAAATAGCAAAGTTATTAATCTAGCACCAGGCATAAGTTTAGGAGAGAAATGTTTAATCAAGTTCACTATTACATAAAAGTAGACCATTATTGAGAAAATTAGCGATCAAATTCAATTCTTTCACAGATCTTGTTGCTAAAATTACAGATGCAATGAAGAAATCGCTAAATTGCAAGAGAAAAAAAAAATTTTGTTGCTAATTTCCACGGCTAATATGCAACAAATTTTTCAGCATCGAGAAAACATGTGGCAAGTGATGACACTGCCTGACGGGTTGGAACCTCTCCTCTTTCCTTCCCATCCTCTCCCCTCCTTTTCTTTTTTCAACCATTGAATTAACATTTGAACCATTCAGATTTAAATCTTCTTAAAACTGTTATTAAAATATTAAATTACAAAAATAAATAAATTATAAATTATAAACTATTAAAATTTAATTCTACTGGTTTGCAAATGCACTAAATATTTTTAAATTTTTTTATAATTAGTTTATGAAAATTAAAATCTGAAATGTTGAAATATTTTAATCTAATTATTAGAAAAAGAAGAGGAATAAAGAGGTTGGAAAGGGAATAGTAGAGGATCCGAATCTCAAGTAGTTGAGGTTGTCGTTGACAGTGATGTGGTAGTGGCCAACATGAACACATGGCCGGCGTGACCGTCGTTAGCAAGACATGTGGCGGGTAGTGGGTAAATGAAAAAAAAAATCATAATTTTTCAAAACAAAAAAAAAAAGCAAAAATGCAAAGAAAAAATATTTAAAAGTTGTTTTGATTTTTTAGTTTTTAAAACCATATTATTTTTTTATTTTGTAGAATATCTAACTAAAAATAAATCACTAAATAATGTTTTATCTTTAAAAACAAAAAATTTAAAAAGAAAAAAAAAACAAGTCGAACTTTCTATTAAAACTTTGATTAGTCTTTCATTGAATTATTGGATCAATTTTTGAAGAATTAAGTTTAGAGTTGATAATATGGGTTGGACCTGGAGATGCAACCTGTCAACCCACTAAAAATGGTAGGTTAGGATTGGCTAAAGGTCAACCTGCCAATAAACAAAACTTTTTAACCCGCACTACCTAATCCACGACCGGCCACAAGTTACCTCACTAGCCCATGGGCTTACCCGCATTTATTTTTTTGATTTTTTTTAATTTTATTAATTATTATATGTATATTATTATATTTTATATCCTATCTAAAAAAATTAGAGAAAAACCTATATGATTTATTTGGTATTTTTAATCAAGTATTTAAAGGAAAGATAAAAATTTCATTATATTTTCTTTATATTGTATAAGGAAAAATATATTAAAAAAGAAAAAAAAAAGAAAATAATAGTTGGCGGGTTTAGCCAACCCGCTACTACACAGAGCCTTTTCAACCTGCATCGCCTAACCCTAACCCACTACGAGTCAACCCGCAATAGCCTAATCGTAACTTGCCATGGGTTGGCTCATATTGCGACCCCTAGTTAAGTTTAGTGAATATTTGGAAGAGTAAAATAGTATGAAGGGATGATATTTTAGGAGGCTTTTGGTTTTAAAAAAAAAAGGGCACTTTTTGAAAGTGTTTTTATGAAGTAAAACTCATCTCACATACTTATTTCATATATGGTAAAATTATTTTCAAAATCATAGTTTGGTTTTCACCCAAATACCCCCAGCTTAGACTAACTGGAGGATAACATGAAACCTTATATATGTTCAATTATGCTGAGAAAGCCTGACATGAAATATGATACTCATAAATTATAAATATTTAGACTTATTTTTCAGACGTTATAATGTATAATTTATAATATACATCGTACTGTATTGACATTATATTGATGGAAATAAAAATGGACAATTAAAGATTCTATAAGATTTTATGAGACTTAATTAGACAGTTGCAGATTCTATAATTAGGAATATTTGACAATTAATGAGACGATTTGATAATAATTTATTTTGGTTTTGATTTGATTATTATTAATTATCATCAATTATCAGCCCATATAGAAATGGAAAGAAAAAAAATAATTGAAGATTTTATAAGATTTAAATAGGATCAATAATATTTTGACAATTAATGAAACAATTTGAAAATAATTTATTTTTAGTTTTAATTTGATTGTTATCTCTCACCGTCAATTATCTTTTATCACATGACAGACTCCCATATTATCCGTAATATCATAAGTTAACCCTAATAATATTTAAAATGCATATTTATAAGGAAAAGATACAATGTTTACTAGGAAAAACTTTTGTATACAATTTATTTTTAAAATGCAGATTCCATTATTTTTATAAAATCAACAAAAACTTTTCAACACACATACTCCTTTGGTCCTATTTATAAGGCAGAGAGAGAAGATATTTTTTGATTCTATTTATATGGTATTGAGAGAAATTTTTTACATGGATGTACAATTTAAACCCTTATTTATTAGTGTGTTGACTTTATTTACATGAGGTATAATATATATTAAATAGGGATAAAGTTGGAAAGTTAATAAATTTTAAGTGAGAGTTGATGAAGTTTAAGATTTTTCTTAGTTTATATGAAACATATTGAAAGTGTCTTATAAATGGAATTAGAAGAGTAATCTTCTTTAATTAACTCTTCCCACACCCAAACCCTCTACTCCACTCCGCCGTTCACTCCTCTTCCCGAGAGAGCGAATTTGTAATTCCCTCCAAAGCAGATGGCGAGCGATGGCGGCAACCTCTCGCTGCCCTCCGAGATCGTCATCAACATTCTCAAAAGGCTCCCGGTCAAATCCATCGTTCGATTTCGATCTGTCTGTAAAAATTGGAAAAATCTCTTCAAAACCCCACATTTCATAGCTGAACATGCCCGCCACTCTTCTCACGAAAACCCTTTGCTTCTTCTCCATGAAAAAGATTTCGGTTCCAATGGTAAGCCTCCGTCCTTACGTTTGCTTAATTATAATATGGAAACCATTGAAGTTCTAAGCATACCCTCGATCGATTGCCTTAAACATGGTTGGAAAATCATTGGTTCTTGCAACGGCCTTCTTTGTGCCGGAGTCGATCTTGATCCAGATGGGTCTCCTCGCTCGCTTTGCCTGTGGAACCCGGTGATTAGAGAGGTCAGAGAAATACCCCTAACTACAACAACGAAGGATTACTGGGGACTGTGCGAATTTGGATTTGGGTTTAGTAGCAATTTTAATGATTACAAGATAGTGAAATTTTATATTCCAGAGTTGCGTAAAAAGAAGAAGAAACGTCAACCCTATAATGCCGACCTACTCGAGCATCATAGATCGGAAGTGTATTCATTAAGCACAGGTTTATGGAAGAAACTAGAATTTGGAGCTTTACCAAAGACAACAATTATATCAAAAAATATCAGTGCTGAGGGAAATGATGGAACTATCCTTTTCTTAGGAGAAAAGGACAATTTGCCTGTGCTCGTTTCCTTCGACATAGCTACTGAAGTGTTTAGATTAACACAAATACCACTACCCCGTGATCTTCCAACTGCTATTGGTGTGTACCAGAACAAATTAGCTATGTTTCGGCACTGCAACATCTCTTTTCATTCTATCCATATATGGGCGATGGATGAGGTTGCCGGTGAATCTGGAAAGAGTTTCAGTTTTACTGAAGAATTTAAGCATTGCATAATTTCGTACTTTTTTCATCCCTTGTGTATTTGGAGGAATGAAATAGTTTGCGTTGACAAAGAGCGGTGGCATCTTGACGAAGACGAAGACGAAGACGAGTGTTATGATGAATCAGTGTACTTTCTTAGGCTGCTCAATCTCACTACTAAGAAATGGAAGGAGTTCTACAAGGTTTCATCTTCCTATGACTGGTGTGATGGTTTCAGTTATGAGAGGAGCCTTGGGTCTGTTTGGAACGCCCAGGTTGAATAGCATTGCTTTGAAATATGATCATTTCTGCATTTCATGTTTAATTTCTTTTTTCTCTAATTCACAAAAACCTTTGAAGATTATTTTGGTTGGATCTATATATAATTCTTGAAGCCCCTTTGATCTTTGATCTGGAGTAGTGAAGAAATTCAGTATTAGTTTGTTTCATGCTTTATTTTAGCCTTCTGTATATCATCACCCTATGTTCAATTTTCTTGGATAACATATAGTTTAATTAGTTGCTGGCTTGCTGCTATATAAGTTTGCTTGGTTTTGTTGGGTTGTGTTTTAGTGGGGGTTGCCTACAGACGAATGATTGTAAATCAATGGGAACCAAAAAAAAGAGTATAATTAAATTATTGAAATGCTTTCAATATAAAAATAGTAAAAATGCACTACATGCCCCCCGGTCTACAGTATATGTCACTTCTAGAAAAATAACAGGTCCAAAATATGTCATTAAAGAGTAATTAATGCTTATTTGTCAATTTTGTCCCCATAATTAACTCTTAAATGTGACTCTTTGTATTTTTCTTTTTTGTTTGCAATCTCATTTAATACGGATAAAGTTGAAAAAATTTTCAACTTGAAACATGTTTAATTAATCAACTACTATTTTTTGATATTGATGAATTAGTTAAAATGAATTATGCTATGGATCGGAGGAGTCCTTGTTGTGAGATTTTTTTTTAGTGATTAATTGCTTTCATGGCACTACACATTAATTTTCCCTTAAAAAATTGCCTACGACCTGTTTCTTTAGTACTACCTCCCATCATAATTATAAGACCTCATTTGTATCTGCAATGAGATTTCATAGTTAGGATAAGAGGTAGTAATATTTTTTCCTGCCTTTTCATTGTCACCGAACTTATTTTTTCTTCATCCTTTTAGAGCTGTTGATTCTTTTCCCAACATAACCTTCGAAGTTGCAAACAAAACTTTTTTGCGCATTGAGTAAAATAGTCCAACATAGAAAACTTTTCGAGGTTATGAAACAAATTTATGATTTTTTTTCCTTCTCATCTTTAGATGCATTCTAAAGACAATTTGATCTCTCACTTTCAACTATATAAAAGAAAATTATTTTCCCTCATTCGTTCATTTGTTTCCCAACCACATTTCAAGCAACCCCAAACAATTTTGTGACCGTCAAGTGCAAATAATGCCTTCTTCCCTCAAGCGACAAAATGAAATTGAAAGATGACAGGGCCATTTTTCAATAAACAACATGATAAATTATTAAATTAGATGAACAAAATTTCATAGTAAAAAACTTTTCAAGGCTATGAAACGTAAATCTTTTGACTTCTTTAGTCATTCTAAACTTTATTTGATCTCTCTCCTTTCGCCTATATAAAAGGTAATTCTTTTCCCTTGTTCTATATCATTCCTTTCTTACCATTTCAAACAAGGAAATGGAAGATGAGGGAGTCATTATTTTACCACAAGATCTCATAATAGAAATTCTCAAAAGGCTTCCTGTCAAATCCCTAATTCGATTTCAATCCGTTTGCAAACTTTGGAAAAATCTCATCAAATCCTCATCTTTCATCTCTACCCACTTACACTACTCAGCTCACAACAATCCTTCTCTTTTCTTCGAACAAACCCGTCTTGAACAACGCAATCCTACATTCTTATTTCGCTTGATTCCAACATGAAAAATGTTGAAGTTCAGATACACTCGAGACGCCCCCCTGGATCCATTCCATCATGGATTATAGTCTTATCAGACTTGTTGGTTCCTGCAACGGCTTGTTCATTGTGGAAATGGAATTTATTGGTGGTCCTCCTGATGATGATGATGATTCTATATATTTTTATCATATTTTTCTATGGAACCCAGCGACTAGAGATGTCAGGCAAGTTCCCGAGCCATCAACACGCATCCATTCAAGGAATCCAAATTATGGATTTGGGTTCAATCCTGTCCTTAATGATTACAAAATAGTGAGAATTTATACATATGACTTTGCTTATGCTGGGAATCGACGTAAAATCTTTGTGGACAAAAATTGTGCTCATGATGTGGAAGTGTATTCATTAAGAAGAGGGTCATGGGAGAAAGTAGAATCTGTGGTTTTAAATAGAGTAAGGTATCTTAAATCCTTTCAAGCTGTCGTTTCTAATGGAACTATGTTTTGGTTAGGGAAGATGGATGAAGAACATGATCTTTATGTGGTAGTTTCATTTGAGATAGCAACAGAAATATTTTCACTGATGCCACTACCTTCTTCATCAGTAACCCCTAATTTAGGTTCAAAATAAGGCTTAGCGTGCATGAGAACAAACTTGCTATGTTTTGGGGGCCTTATTATAAGGTTGGAAAGACTGATTGTTCTTTCTTTGATTTATGGGTGATGGAGGAGGAAGGGAAGAGTTGGAGTTGGACTAAGAAATTTAGTATTGGTCCAACATCAAAGTGGTTATATCCCTTATGTATTTGGAGCAATGAAATTGTCTGCACCAATAATGGGCCAATTCCAGGAGGGTTCAGTAGTGAAAGTGATGAGGATGAAGAAGAGAATGGGACAAGCATCTTTTTATCTTTGTTCAATCTCACTACTAATGAATGGACGTCGCACAACTTTATAAATGAAATTAGTTATTATGAGAACATTTTCAATTATGCAGAAAGTCTTGTCAGTCTGTAACATATCCACAACGAGTAGCATTGCTCAAGTGCTTTCAGCATTTTGGTTGATCCGATCCACTGTTATTAGAATAAAGGAAACTCAACCTATAATGTTTGACTTTGACTTCTTCTTTTTTTTTTTAAATTTTAATGACGCCTGCCAATTTTTTCCACGTTACTTTTAAGTTTGGGCTTAAAAAAGTATATTTTGGCATTCGGCTTCGGCTTCGGCGGCCTACGTAAATAACCCAAACCATTCCCGCATTCTCTGCCTCTCATCTGGCTCGCTTGACCTCCGTTCGTCTCCGACCAAGTAACGGCGCTCTCTCTCTCTCTCTCTCGCCGTTCGTTCTCTCCCGCGGAGGTACTCTTTGGCTCTGAGCCTTTGATTTAGATGATGTGTAGTCTTTAGCTTCTGCTTCAATTGGTTCAACAATTTGAATGCCTGGGATCTGTTGATTTTGCTGGCTGTGATGATTTCATTGCTTTAGCTTTATTATTAATTTGGCTGCCACTGATTTTTGCTGGTTGAGTAGTGAATGTAGAATAAATGTGTTTTCTTTCAACCCAACTATGCTCTATTAATCAAGTTCTGGAGTTTCGATTTTTAGAAATAAGTTTTTCTGTGCTAAGATAAGTAAAGTCTCTGATAGAGTTACGGCGTGACTGAATATGGAGAAAGTGGGGGTTGGTGGGGAAGGAGTTTGATCAGATTTACCCATAAATTAAAAGTAGAGTTCTGGATGTTTGTTTTATCGTTTATTTAATTGTTTATTTTTGCATTATGAATAGAGCAGAAGCTATATATGAAGTACTTTGATGTTTATTCAGTTTAGGAGATTCTCCTTAGCTACTTTTTCTCCTCACAATTCCAAGATATATTTGTTGGATTGGTTACATGTTGAAAAAAAATCATGTTTTTCTTCCCTTGTTTATTAATCAATGCCTTTTCTTGTGATGCTGGCTTTCAATCAGGTTTTTGACCATGATAGGAAATGTTTACCCTTTGACCCAAAGTTCATCTAGGGTTTATCGGCCCTCCCAGCATTTTAGCCGTCTGTCCTCTTGCAGTTCTAGCATCCAATGTTCCTGCAGGGGGCTTAACTTACTGGGGCTTAACTCCTGCCCGCCAAGAGGTATATGGCTTGTTTAATTTGTTTGTTAACATGACCTCTTTTTTTTTTTATTTAATATGATATGAATTATTGAGCTGATAAATCCATCATACAAAACATTCTTATTAGCTTGCTATTTGGTGAGAATGTGTTACTGTAATCATTTTACACAATTGAGATGTTCTAAGTTATGACTGATATTTCTTATTTCATTCTAAGTTCCCTTCATAGGAATGATGCTGTCCTCAAACATTATTTCTGCTGCATCAAGCCTAAATTTTTCTGGTGGAGATCAAAGTCTTGGTCTTCTTTACCCCAGAATCACCTGGCCATCTTCTAGGCAAAGAAGGTTTTGTGTGGTTCCTCGAGCATCATCAAAGGATGATGTCCCATACAGCTTCCGATATCCAGTGATGACCAAAAAGCCAAGATGGCTATGGAGGACACTTGCATGCCTCCCATACCTTATGCCTCTACATGAGACATGGATGTATGCTGAGACAGCATATCATCTTCACCCATTTCTTGAGAACTTAGAATTCATGACATACCCTTTCCTTATGGCAATTGGGAGTCTGCCAAGCTGGTTCCTCATGGCTTACTTCTTTGTGGCATATCTTGGGATTGTGAGGAGAAAAGAATGGCCCCACTTCTTCAGGTTCCATGTGGTGATGGGAATGTTATTGGAGATTTCTCTCCAGGTGATTGGCACTGTGAGCCGTTGGATGCCTCTAGCAATCTACTGGGGAAAACTAGGAATGCATTTCTGGACTGCGGTAGCTTTTGCCTATCTGTTCACAGTGTTGGAGTGTATGAGGTGTGCTCTTGCTGGGATGTATGCGGATGTTCCTTTCGTGTGTGATGCTGCATATATCCAAATTCCTTATGACTAAGGAAGAAGATGTACACAGCATATTTGAATTAGTTTTTTTAAAAGTGATTTTGTGAAAATCGAGATAAATATATTAGAGGAGTTTTGTTTCAGGTTGCATGAAATTTTTTTTAAGTGCTTTTTGAGCATTTCTTAGCCCCCGTAGAAAAGGTTAGCTTGGATTTTACTTTTCGTATTGCAGATTTTGTTGAGCAGAAGTAATAAACTGTGGGATTTCATCAATCTAGATTTTTTTTTTCACTTGTTAAATACTACTAGTCTTGACATAATTATTCTGTTGAAAATAATTTTAATGGTTTGAATTTTAATATTTATACTTTTTGTTATTTAATTGAAAGGACTATGTTTTTTAAAAAAAGTGCGTGCTAGTTGGAAAATTCTATTTATTTTGTAAGTATATATAAGGATATATATATATATATATAAGTATTGTGCCACCTTAAAAATTTGACTATATAAATTATACTCGAATTATGTTGGTCCAAGAAGAAAAAAAGGTCTATTTTATCTACATAGGATTCAAATCTTTCTTATTTATTATTTTTACTATAATTAACTAATTTATTTAAATTTTATAATCCACCTCAACTAGTTAAGAATTTTTTTTTAATACAAGTACCTATTGGAAATAATTCTGTTAGTAAAAGTTAAATAGCTACAAAGCAATAAGACTTTGATTTTTTGTTCGGCTGAAATACTCTTCCGTCAAAATTGCCGATCGGAAACAGTTCAAGTAAGAAGCCCAAGACGCAAAGCAAGCCCAATCTCCACCCGCAGGCCACAACGCAGACCAGAAAAACAAAACGACATAATAACACCAAGTTAGCTCAAAAAGACACATTGTCACAAAGAGACGCAACGCGTTCGCATTCCGTGCTCATCAGCCTGATGAGCACGGAGTGAGCATTTTTAATTTTTTTAATTTTATTTTTTTGTTACAAAAAAATTTATACCATCTCAAATTATTAATATAAAAATTATCTTGATATTTAATTTAGTCTTAAATATAATATTCTAATCAACTTATCTCTTATATATATATTTATTTTTTCAATATAGTCCTTATAATAATTGTACGTGTTAAAGATTTAATCAATTGTTGATTTTAGTTAATACACATAATTAGTGAGAGGCATTTTAGATAAAACAACACTTATTTATTACAACCGGCTAATTTAGCTAATTTTTGTAGTATACTTGAATTAGTTCGCATTCCGACGCTAGGATCATCGGTTCCGGCAACGGCGTGCTCTGTGCTGAAATAGTTGAGCATGGTGTATCTCCTCCTTCCCTTTTACTGTAGAATGCAGCCATTAGAGAGGTCAGAAAAGTACCTATAACAATTGATTTTCAAGGGGATTGCTTTTCAAGATTCGGGTTCGGCCCAATTCTTAATGATTACAAGATCGTGAGAATCTTTTCCCTTCATTATGAGGTCAACCGAATGGAAGTGTATTCATTTTGTACTTGGTCATGGAAGGAACTAGAATTTGAGAACTTAGATAGAGTAACATTTTGTCATAAAACAGCTGAAAGTGTTACTGCTAATGAAGCTATCTTTTGGCATGGCTACAATGAAGATACTATTACAGTGGAGACCTTTTATTTCTATTATATTCTAAATGACGTTTTACTCTTGTTTTAGGAAGGACCTAAAAAGAAAGGATATAAAAAGTAGCTTCTGTTTACTTCTGTTTTGAATAGAAGAGAAAAATGATATTTACGTCTATCTTGCTTTAAAACAGAAGTAAAAAATGATGGTAATTTTTTACTTCTATTTTTCAAAACATAGGTAAATGCTGGTGATTTGTTACTTCTGTTTTATCATAATAGAAGTAAATAATTTTCCCATTCTCTACTATTTGCTTCAAATAGATGTGAATGTGCTCGTTTTTTTAAAGAAAGTTTCACTTCCTGTATATCACTTGCATTACAATAACTACCATGTGATACATTTTCATTAGCCACTTTCCAACAAGTTCAAATATTCTAACATTTAAATAAGTCAATATTTTTAGCCAACATACATTAACTAACTAGTCAAAAGAACAAACTGCAAAAGTCAAAATTGATAATCTAATAAGATGAAGTTATCTCTAAACATAAACTTTATCAATCCCTAGACCACTATTTTTTAAGTAATTGCTGGGTCAAAAGGTCTCGAATAAAATTAATATCATCAACAGTGTATAAGCAATCATTATCAAAGATCTGTAAATTAACAAATGAACAAATATAAATATATGAAGAATAAGTAACAATTCAATTTAAAAATTCAACAACTATTACAAAACTAAAATTATATTTACTTATCTCTTCAAATTTTTTAGTACATCCACTCTCAATTTGCTATTAAATTAACCTCTCAAGATCATCATAACTATATTACCATTCTAATGCAATGTCAATATATGAAAATCCTCTCTTAGGTATTTTGACAAACAATTTGTGTACATCAATATTCAAACAAGTTGAACAAACTTTTTAACCTTCAAATCCACTATCCAATCAAGTTTAAAACTTTCTAGATACAATTCAAGAATTAGCAGCAACATGAACAAAGAACCATCCATTTGCAGCACGTATAGAAACCAAAAGGAGGAATGTTGCACTTCAACTTACCTTATTTAATGGAGAAATGGCGTCGACATGGACAGGAGAAGAGAGGACATAGGTGGCTTTGACGGTGAGCTTCTTTCTTCAATGGGGACGCCGAGTTGGAGAGGAGGAGAACCACATTTTACTTCCTGCTGTGTAAGCTGTGCGAGCTGAAGCTGGAAGAGCTGGATGAGCTGAGGACCTGATGCGACTGGATGAGCTAGCGGATCTGATGCGAGGACGAGCTGGATGTTCAAAGCTGGAGCTGGAATGGGAGGGAGGGAAAGACCGAGTGTGCGTAAGCTGGAATATTGGGAGGGAGCTGGAACTGGAATGCGAGGACAAGCTAGAGGGCAATTTTTTTCTAAAATTATTCAGGCTCCTTCTCATCTGTTGTTATTTAACAGACGAGAAGAAGCTAAGCTTCAACGTCTGTTGTATAATACCAGACGAGAAGCACCTGGACTTCTCATCTGTTTCTAGTAACAGACGAGAAGCTTCTTGTCTGTCACTGATGAAACAGATGAGAAGTGCCTGATTCTCGTATGTGGTCTGAAACAGAGGAGAACTTGGGCCTTATTCTTGTCTGTTTTAACAGACAAGAATACTAGCTTTTCTCCTCTGTTTTTCTAAACAGAAATGAATGAGAAAGGTAAAAAGTATATTTTCTTATAGTATAGATATTTTGCTTGGCTAGTTTCATTTGAAATAACAAAGGAAGTGTTTACATTGGCCCCAATACATGCATTACGCTTTAATGAAACTGAAAGATTTACGGGGTATGACAACAAATTTGCCGTGCTCAATATTGATGAAGAAACGTATGAGACTTATTTGATTGATTTGTGGGTAGTGGAGAATCGTTAATTTCTTCTGGATTTTCCTGCTTGCCTTGTTCTGTGATTTTCTAGGTTATTTTTTTAAAGAAAAAACTGATTTTGGCTATGGTTTCAGTGCTTCAATTTTATTCGCTTGCTTCGGTTCCTGTCAACTTTGCAAAATGATGGGGTTGTAATATTTACTGGTTTGGCTCTGTTAAATATCAAATATTGTTATAATTTTGGTGCTCAAATTTTGCATATAAACTCTGATCCAAAAGCGCAGAGTTCTAAGGTTGACCCTATATGCCTACAGTGCAGGCTAAAAGGTTGTGGCTTGGTGCCGATGGTTTTCTCCAAAACACTTTGATACCTTTCTCAATGGGGAGAACTGTGAAGCCTCTGAGGACCTTTCTTCCTGATGGGATAATCGTTAACATTTTCAGAAGACTTCCAGTAAAATCTCTTATCCGATTGCAATGTGTATGCAAGCATTGGAAAAATCTTATCAGGTCACCGTTTTTTACTCCAGTCTTCAAAACCCTTCACTTCTGCAGATGGCCTCGACCTATGTCCTCTGGTTTTCACTGGGTTTTGCTGGATCGTGACATGCGACGACGTGTAGTTCAGAATTCACAGATCTCTTTGATCGATACCTTGCCCCAGTTGAGCATACATGGGTCAAGCAATGGCTTGCTCTGTCTTAAAAGCGCATCTCAAAATTCCATTTTATTGTGGAATCCGGCAACCAGAGAATCCAAACAGGTCCCCGCAGCTACCAATCGTTTTGGAGGCCATTGCTGTATAGGATTTGGGTTTAGTCCAATTGTTAATGATTATAAGATCGGGGTGATTTATGATCATAACCTTGAGAGGGTTTGGAGAGTGTATCAAGTTAAAGTGTATTCATTATGCACAAGGTCTTGGAAGGAAATAGAAGTTGGAAACATGGAGGGTTTATATGTTAACGCTCATAGTGTTAGTGATAATGGACATGCCTTTTGGTTTGGGTTCAAGAATGAAGATGATGATTATTGCTCAATAGTTTCATTTGACATAGCAACTGAAGTATTTACATTGATCCCAATGCCTGCATCAGATGATAGTTTGTTAATGAGAACGCTTGATGTGTATGAGAACACCCTTGCATTGTTTTGTATCAAATGGATTGCTCCGAGTGAATATTGCATTGAATTGTGGGTGATGAAGGAAGTTTCAAGTACATCACGGGAGAAATGGATTTGGGCTCACAATACACTAGCAGCGCTTGTTCAGGCTTGTCAATGTTATATCCTATTACTATTTGGGGCAATAAAATCATATGCCAACCTGAATTTGATGGTGATTCTGAAGATCATGAAGGCGAGAAGGATAATGACCCACTTACTCCTCTTTACATGTTCAATATTGGCAGTACTGAATTTAGGATATTTGCTATTCCTTCCTGTAACAAGGGCTATGGCCTAACAATTGACAATTATGTTGAAAGCCTTGTATCAATTGGCAATATTCATGTTGAGAATCCTTGATAACTGTAACAGATGCTACAATACTTCGTTAAAGTCAGGAAGGGATTGGTGTAAGATTGTGTTGTTAGTTTAAACCTTTCAAACATATTATTATTGGTCTTTTTACTGATGCTATTTTACATGACAGTGCTGGTTCCATAATTCATCCTCTATTACTTGAGTTTAGTTTTAATTTTTGATGGCATTTAGGACACCTAGTGTCCGCTTTGGATCATATTATATTGTTAGGTACCTGAGCAATTGACTTATCCGAAATATGGATTTGCAACCAGGATGCGCCTCTCAGGAAATTTTTTTTTAAAAACAAGATGAGATTTGAACTCAGTTTACCCACTTATATGTATGTTTATTGTAAGACGATGCTTAGTCAGTACACCCAAATACATCTTGCAGGTAAAGCATCCTTCCTTCTATGCCAAAGGAAAAATAATTAATTTCAGTTGGAATTTCAAATTCCATAAAACCTTCCAAATAGTATAATATTAACTCAATACCTGAGAATTACATCTATTCCTTTCTACGATATCATTATCGCCTTTCTTTAAAGAATAACAACCATGATTATCACGTTTCCAGATAAGTTCTTGATAAGATTTAGCCGCCATTATTAATGAAATATTCTTTGTTAAGCGCAATAAGCTTTCTACCGTCAAAGCTTACACTGATAAATTCTATTGCATCTGTCTCGGACATGGTTAATTAATCAATGCAATATTGCATGTTTAGTTTTTTTCTTCGAGGGATTTTCAATGCCAACGTCAATATTTCTTGTGTTTACTTCGTTTATATATTGTTAAATTGAATATTTTATGCTTAATTCTCCATGTACTAATTATATTGTTGGGACATGGTTATTAGTAATTAACTTGGGGAAAAAATTGAAGCTAGCTTTTATAATCCTAATCCTCGTTAATTAGTTGGGTTGCAAAGAAAGAAAGAAATATTTTGTCGTGAAGGAAGAGGGTTTCTTCATCTCAAACTAGCAAATGAAATAAAGGAATCTAAGGATGAATCGACTCGACATGAAGAAAGAGGATTCTAATTAAGCCTATGTAATTTAGAACACATTATATTATGTAATCATAAAAGTTATACTTTACATATTCTTCAAGATAAATCTAAGACCAAAGACACGGGTGAAGGATATTAGTCATTCAACCGATTAAACCATTGGTTCAAGATATATTGTAAATCAATCGATGTTGAATTCGGCGCCAAATTAGTAGTAACTAAATTAATTAATTTTAATTATATGTATATTTAAGGAAATCATTACTGATAAATTTATAATGTAATAATCCATCGCTATACGGCTATAATATTAAAATACATTGATTTCTCCTCTATTTTGCCTTTTCATCGTACAAATCTTCCCTATTGTAAAAACTTTCACATACCTCCCTTGATACCAAACCTTCTATTTTACGTAGTCTCTCTAAAATATTTACATACATCATAGATTATACATCAATTTATAAGTAAAACAAATTAGTTTAGGAAAAAAAATGATAAATATAAGTACTTAAAAGTAATTTAATAAATTTTTATATTTTTTTAAATTAGTCAACTAGGTCTTATATGCTTATATTAAGGACTAGAAGTAGCACCATAGTTTTTTTTTTTTTTTGGGATTTACAGTACCAAGCCCACTCCGTTCCTGTTTCATGCCTCAACTATCAGGAGTAATGAAATCGTCCCCTTCTCCCATGCCAGAGACGATGAAGACAAGAATGAGGAAAGAAAATCTTATATATATGTGTGAGTGTGCATATGTTTAATATCTCTACTATTGCGTTCAAGAAGCTCGCTACAACTCCTTCTAGTTGTAACAGATTTTCAATTATGTGGGAAGTCCTGTATCATTTGGCAACATTTATAATAAAGAGGCAGGATCTTAAATATTAGTTATTACATGGTAGATTTTATTCGTTTACGTGCTCTTGAGTTTTGATTGAAATGCATCTATAGTAATTCTAAACATACAATTTGTGATGCCATTTATCAATATACTACTACAAAACGGATCATTTATGTCCCCATTTTCCACAAAATAACAGAGGATAATGGAGGAGGACACATGTGCATTCCAGGAGAGATGGATTTATTTCGGCTCAATCTCACTTTTAATGAGTTTAAGAGTTTTCTTACAGGGTATTACTCTCACCACGGAATGGAGTGAGAATCAACAGTAATAAGGAAATAATTATGATCTTTTCCCGCCAAAATAACTATGACTTTCATTACTGGATTTAGATATTTTACAATATATCTGTAAAATATATATATATATATATATATAATATTCGATTCAGTTTAGGGTGTGTTTGGCTCAATAGAAGGGATGGGAGAGGAGGGATTTTAATGGAGAGAAAAGTGATAAAAGAAAGGGGAGGGATTTTAATATTACTTTATTTAGATTAATACGAGGAGAGGGAGGGGAGGACTTTTAATGTTACCTTATTTAGTTTAGGGAGGGAGGTGAGGCAAAATATTTTTTATGGACAACATTGCCCTTATATTATTTAAGTTGATTTTTACAAACTTTATAGAGTAATTAATAAAATAAAATTATAAATAATATTTAATAGATGATCGACTTTTTATGATTAGCAAAATTACATACATATAATGATAATACTTAATTAATAGCTACTATATATCCAACAACTATAATTGTATTTACATCCAAAATCTGGTCTAATGAAGTAAATGTGTTTAATTTGAGTATTTTTTTTTCCACTTTTCATTTCTCTTTATGTTGTTGATATGAGTAGTAAAATAACTTTTTTGAAGACGACATAGATGGCTTGTTTGTACTTTTTTTTTTGAATGCTTGATTTGCATTTTGAAAATTAAAATATATTTGATGGCTTTAATATTTGATCGCATATAAATGAGGGAAGAAGGACATGATTGAATATATAAATATACCAAATCACATACAATTCGGTAGTGAAGGGTAACATGGGTTTATTAGAAAATAATATGGGCATATTAGTCAATACAAGTCAAAATATTACCCTTTCCTCCAAATTCTCCCAATTTTGGTGGGGAGGGGAAGGGAGGGAAAATGTTAAAAAAATTCCTCTCCCCTCCTAAAATTTTTATCTTGCCAAACAAAAAAAAATGATTAAAATCCCTCCTCCTCATTTCCCTTCCCTCCAAATTCTTCATACCAAATGAACTGTTAGTCTAATTAGAATTTTTTATTCTCAAAATCATGCTTTCAAATAAATTAGAAATATTATAAAAAAATATAATATATGATAGCTCATTTCTCAGTATTGTCTTTGGATTACATCTGTGATCATCTGTCCCTAATATTATTTATTTAATTGTTTTGTTGAAATCCTCTTCGGGTAGATCCGATAAAACTGGAAATCCTCCTCGGGAAGGGGATTCCCATCTCTCCACTTCGCCTCAGCCTTCTCCTTCTCCTTTAGACGGAGTCACGCCATCATAAGTTCAGAACCCTAGTCGGAGAAAAACCTTCCGATCCTGTGGCTATCACTCCTTGACGTCAACTTCTAGTGCCCTAATATTGACTGCCACGGACGTCCCTCCTCTAAGATTCCTCTTCCAATAATGGCGGCCGCTGTGAAGATGCAGGAAACGAAAGCGCACACAGCCTTTATTCCCAAGGATATCATGGCCAACATTTTCAAAAGGCTTCCGGTTAGATCGTTATATCGGTTTCAATGTGTGTGCAGAGATTGGAAAGATCTGATAAAATATCTCATCAAGACTCCACCTTTTGTCCAAGACCACTTCCACTATTCCAACTGCCAAGACCCTGTCCTTCTCCTTGAGCAGTACCATCCCAAATTCTGTGGTATTCGCCTCAGTGTGCTGGATTGCGATATGCGAGTCGGTAAAGTTCAAAACTTACCTTCTATTCATTCTTTATATAATTCTGAGGTGTTGGGTTCCAGCAATGGCTTGGTCTGTGTCAAAACTGAGAATGGTATAAATCCTCATCCCATTTTGATATGGAACCCCGCCACTAGAGACATCAGAGAGGTGCGCACCAGAACTATCATTCATTTTGACCTTATTGACGGGTTAGGATTTGAGTACTACAGAACTTACATTGAACCTAAGCTTGTTGATTATTTTGGATTTGGATTCAGTCCTCTTGATAGTGATTACAAGATTGTGAGAATTAATCTATTTCATCCTTCTACTATTAAAGCCGTGGACTTGTATTCGTTGAATTGCGGGTCATGGAAGCAAATAGACTTTGGAAACCTAAATGGCATAAAGATGAGTTCTGCATATATCACTATTAATGGAGTTATGTTTTGGGATACTGCGTGGTGGGATGATAATAAGGATCTAGTACTTTCAATTGACCTATCAAAGGAAGTTTGTAAATTGATACGGATGCCTTATTTAGGCTATGCTTCTCATAGAAACCTTGTTGAGTATGAGAACAAACTTGCTCTGGTTGCTCGCAAGGGTGGATCTAATTTGATTCATTTGTGGGTGTTGAAGAAGTACACGTGTCCATCTGAGGATAGCGAGGAGGAGAAGAGATGGAAATGGACTAAAATATATACTAGTAGTCCTTGTCCATGCCCTTACTTAATTCCAAGGACTATTTGGAGGAACGAGATTGTCTTAGTGCCTGATCAGATTGAGAATGATGGTCAAACGACAATAATTTTATATCTCCTCAATCTCACTACTAATGAGTTTAAGAGGCATGCCGTTATATCTTCCCCTCACAACTTTCAACAAATAAGGAAAGGCACTAAAAGAGACGATGTTGAAATTGATATTTTTAATTACATCGAAAGCCTTGTATTAGTCAATCGGCATCATTAATGATTACAATGCAAGTTTAATTTAATTAAACACTACTTTTGGCATGGAAATTCAGTTTTTAAATCAGTCATAATAGATTATATCATAATTTATTTAGTTGTTAAATCCTTCTTGCAAAGTTATGAGTGGAATGATAATTTATGTAAACTTTGTTTTGGTAATATGCCTTCTATGATTTCTGTTGTTTAGTGTTTTTTAATTCTTAATATTGTTTTAACCTTTATGGTATTAATTCATAAATATGCATTGGATGTTACCCTCTAGCTTAATTAGAGTTTTGTTTAACATTTCTCCTTAGCTTAGTAGTATTTGTTTGTTTATCATGTTAATAGTTTTCAGGAATATCATTCTTATAAAAACTTTTAAAAATTTTTTGTAACACCTAACTCTCTTATATACTATTTGGGTTAATAACAGACTCTGAACCACTTCCGTAAGGTTTTTGACCGGAGAAAAACTGAGCCATTTTTTTTTTCCGTTTCAAAATACAAACATTTGGAATGGCCCAAAATATATACTAGCAATCCTTGTCCATGCCCTTGCTTAATTCCAAGGACTATTTGGAGGAATGAGATTGTCTTAGTACCTGATCGGATTGAGAATGATGGTCAAACGACCATTTTATATCTCCTCAATCTCACTAGCTAGCAATGAGTTTAAGAGGCTTACTGTTAGATCTTACCCTCACAACTTTCACCAGATAGGGAAAGGCAGACCTTTCTAGTAAGCTAAAAGAGACGATGCTAAAATTGATATTTTTTTAATTACATGGAAAGCCTTGAATTAGTCAATCGGCATCATTTGATTATATTGAAAGTTTGCTTTAATTAAACAGTTTTGGTTGAAATTCATCCATAATAGTTTATATCATAATTTATTTTTAGTTGTTAAATTTTTCTTGCAAAGTTATGAGTGGAATGATCATTTATATAAACTTTGTTTTAGTAATAGTAATCTGTCTTCTATGATTTCTGTTGTTTAGTATTTGTTTAAGAATACTCCTTCGGTCCTTATTATAAGACCCAATTTGACTTTTTATTTGGTCCTAATTATAAGACCCAATCCATTTTCTCTTTTATATTTATACATTTTTTCCAAGATAATCCTTTTAATAATGATAGTTTTAGCCAATATACTTAATTAGCAAGGATATTTTAGGAATAACAACACTTATTTATTATAAATAACCAACTTAACTTACTTCCTTAATCTCCTCAAATAAGTCAATTGGGTCTTATAATTAGGACCGGAGGAGTATTGTTTTAACCTTTGTGGTATTGGTTCATAAATTGCAATAATCATTGCATTGGTTGTTACCCTCTGGCTTAATTTGAGTTTTCTTTAACATTTCTCCTTAACTTAGTAGTATTTTTTTGCTTATCATGTTAACAGCTTTCATGAATATCATTCTGATAAAAGATTTAAGAAAACTTTTCATGAATATCATTTTGTCATTTTTACCATAAATTAGTTACCAAACACTATTAAAACTTGAGCCAAACCAAATCAATGACACTTGTTCAGTTTTTGTCTACTGAAGTTGGTTTGGTTTGATTTTTAAGCGACTTGGTACATTTATGGGTCAAGTTTCAATTATTTTTTAAAAAATATATAAAATTATATATTTTGGCTAAGCATAATTTTCTCACTACGTTTTTTTTCTTCCTATTCCAAGTTTCCAACTTCATGTTACTTTACTCAAGCGCCTGTTCAATATTTTATTTACAGAACTCAACTACCCAAAGAGCTATTTTGACAACCCGATGTTTTTTTTTTTTTTGATAATGGAAGGATTCGATGTTAGTAAACCTCCTTTGCTCGACATAATGTTAATTTCAAAATTTGGATTGTAACATATTGTGATTCTCTTGACATCCCCTCCCCTCGAAAAGACTCACGGGACATTTTGTGATATTCAATAAATTTGGAAGGCAATTCAAGGTAATTTGAAATGAAGTGTGAACCAATTTATTTAGGTATATACATCCAAATATGCATAATTATTAGAAAATTAATTAATATATTGCTTGAGTGTTATCATTGATTTAGTGTACATTCGATGAAGGAGATTATTTTTATATCCTGGTGCAATGGAAAATGCAAGCAGTTTTTATGGCATAAAGAAATAAGTGATTTTTATCTTTTGGAACTGTGATATTACTATGTAGAGTAAGTTATAAAGAGTTAATGGAGTTTTACTTAGGAAGTTTAATTAACCTAAAAGAATGAACTTATTTTGGTTTAATTAAGTTAATTAAACCAACTTTCCTCGTATGCCTTTCGGAAGTTTAATTAAGTTCTTCATTTTAAAATTCGAAAAATATTAATAATCTTGGCCTGCAAAACATTAAATTCTAGCTCTCTTTTCATCATACACCGCCTTAACAAAGAAACAGATTAAGGAACACATGCATGAAAACTAAATTGGCTCTATGATTCAAAGCACGTCATTTCCATTGGTTATCTTATAATTTTACTTGGGTTTAATTTATGAAACTTGTTCCATGCAACAAAAGAATTTTATTACCCGCACATAATCGTTCATACAATTTTGTTATTGTCACAGACTTGCGATAATTTCAGAACCAAAACAATTAATATATACACCACACCAGTTCTTAATATATATATATATATATATATATAATTTAGTTTGTAGTTCAACTAGAAACTCGATCCTATTTTAAAGAATGGAGGTAGAGGCATATAATTCCCTTTTTTTTTTTAAGTATTTATGTAAGTCACTTTTTACGCAAGTTTTTAATGGTCTAAAATGAAATTTATTTCGCATGAGGTTACGAGGCATTGTCTGTTTCGTTTATGTAGTTCAACTAAAACGAGCCTGATTAAACAATCAAATTGCTAAGCGTTCACAAAATCTAACGTGAAACAAGCAGATGTCAATACTGAAAGTATTCTAGAAACCCAACAAAAAGATATTGCAACAAATACTTACTCAACTCGTTGGAACTTGGAGGAAAATACTTTATTTTTAGGCCTCCACATCATCTAACGCTGGGAATAATGTAATATTAAAGTTCTATCTTGACGGTCCGTTCATTGAATCGTGGCCGCTCTTTCCTCCAAATCTAAGCCCTCAAGAGCATCTTCTCCCTTCAGTGTCATTTTCAATCACAGAATCCCACCGCCAGAGTGATTTTTCAGTTTGTGGGCTCCGTCGCGAGAACACCTTCCGCGTCTTTTTCATTTTCTGTTCGTCTCCATCGTCATGATCTTCATACTTCTCGTCGATTTATTAGCCTGAACAACGAACCTGAAGCATGTATTGAAGGTTGATTTCTTTGTACTTTTGTGTTGATTTAGTCTTCAAGTTGCTGAATTTCCTGTTGATTTGCACTTGGTTTCGTTAATTTCTTCTCACAATTTCTTCTGGATTTTCTGCTTGCTTTGTTCTGTGATTTTCTAGGTTTTCTCCCCTAAAAAAAATTGATTTTGGGTATCGATTCGGTGCTTCAATTTTGTTCGCTTGCTTCGATTCCTGTCAACTTTGCAAAATGATGGGGTTGTAATATTTGCTGCTTTGGCTCTGTTAAATATCAAATAGTTATAATTTTGGAGCTCAAATATTTGCATATAAACTCTGATCCAAAAGCGTAGATTTCCAAGGTTGACTCTATATGCCTGTAGTGCAGGCTAAAAGGTTGTGGCTCGGTGCTGATGGTTTAACCCAAACACTTTGATACCTTCCTCAATGGGGAGAACTGTGAAGCCGCGGATAGCCTTTCTACCTGATGATATAATCGTTAACATTTTCAAAAGACTTCCTGTAAAATCTCTAATCCGACTTCAATGTGTGTGCAAGCATTGGAAAAATCTTATCAAGACGCGGTCTTTTATAGTTCAGCATCTCCACCACTCCAGTTTTCAAAACCCTTTGCTCCTCATCAGATGGCCTTGTTTTATGTTCTCTGGCTTCCACTGGTTTTTGCTGGATCGTGACAGGCGAGGACGTGTAGTTCAGAATTCACAGATCTCTTTGATCGATTCTTACCCCAGTTGAGCATGCATGGGTCCTGCAATGGCTTGCTCTGTCTTAAAAGTGCACCTGTAAATTCCATTTTACTGTGGAATCCGGCAACCAGAGAATTCAAACAGGTGCACATGGCTACCAATCGTTTTGGAGGTACACGCTGTATAGGATTTGGGTTTAGTCCAATTGTTAATGACTATAAGATCGTAGTGATTTATAATGATCGGGGACGTGATAAGGTTTGGGGAGTGTATCAAGTTAGAGTGTATTCCTTATGGGCAAAATCGTGGAAGGAAATAGAATTTGGAAACTTGGAGGGTTTATATATTGACTCTTATCATCATAGTGTTAGTGCCAACGGAGATGTCTTTTGGTTCGGATTCAAGAGTGCAGATGATGATTATTGCTCAGTAGTTTCATTTGACATGGCAAATGAAATTTTTACAGTGATACCATTGCCTGCATCAGGTTATGATTGTTTTGTAAAAAGTCTTACAGTGTATGAGAACAACCTTGCTTTGCTTTGTACCGGATGGATTGCACAGAATGAACACTGCGTTAAATTGTGGGTGATGGAGAAAGGTTCACGTACATCAGGGGAGAGATGGATTTGGACTCACAAATACACTAGCAACATTTGTTCGGGTTTGGCAATGTTATTTCCTATTACTATTTGGGGCAATGAAATCATGTGCGAACCAGAATTTGAATCTGATCCTGAATCTGAATCTGAATCTGAATCTGAAGGCGAGGAGGATGATGACCCAATTACTCCTCTATACATGTTCAATATTGCTAGTAATGAATTTAGGATATTTTCTATCCCTGACTGTGGCAAAGGCTCTAGCCTAATAATTGAAAACTATGTTGAAAGCCTTGTATCAATTAGCAATATCCTTGTTGAGAATCCTTGATGACTGTAACAAATGGTACAATCTTCAATGTAAATCAGAAAGTGATTGGTATAAGATTGTGTTGTTGGGCATGTGATTAATCTGGATTGAGGCTTTTTAATAACTAGCTAGGATGCCTCTTTTTAATGTAGGATTCAAACTCAGTTTACCCACTCCATGTTTGGTCATCTTTATATGCATCTACATTACAAGATGATGCTCAGTTAATACACACATACATCTAGCAGGTACAGCATCCGTCTATGCCAAATAAAAAGAATTAATTTCATCTGAAATTTCAAATTCCATAAAACCTTCCAAATCTGATCTGAGAATTACATCTATCCCTTCCTATGATATCAGATTATATTTTTGTCTTTCTTTAAAGAGTAACAACCAGAATTATCACCTTTCCATGTAAGTTCTTCATTGAATTTAGACGCCATTAATGAAATATGAATGCTTTTTCAATATCTTTGTCAAGCACAATAAGCTTTCTATGATCAACGTCTACACTGATAGTTTACTGCGGTATCTGTCACCACCATGTTGAAGCGATGAAGTATTGCATGTCTATTTTCTTCTAAGGGATTTCCAGTGCCTCTCTCAATTATTCTTGTGTTTACTTCGTTTATATATATATATTGTCAAATTGAATATTCCATGCTTAATTCTCTATGTACGAATTATATTGCTGGGAAATTGTTAATACTAATTAACTTAGGGGAAAAAACTGAAGCTAGCTTTTATAATTCCAATCCTCATTAATTAGTTGGGATGCAAAGACAGAAAGAAATATATTGTTTTGTAAGAAGAACATTTCTTCCTTTCAAGCTAGAAAATGAAATAAGTGAATTAGTGATGAATCTAACAATCATTATACTAACTCTGGTCCTAATTATAAGACATCGTTTGTAGTCTAATATACAACAAACGAGGTCTTATAATTAAGACTTAGACTACAAACGAGGTTTTATAATTAGAACCAGAAGTAGTATTATGTATTGTAATTATGCTTGGAAGTTTATGACCAGAGGTGGTAGTAGATTTTGTTTTTTTGGCACGGAAAAAAAGTAACTTATGACAAAGGAAATAAGTGATTTTTTTTATTTGGAAGTGCAATATTATTATGAAGAGTAAAAGTATTTTGTATACAAATTAGAGTACTTTAGAAAGTTTCAATTAAACTAATGAATCATATTTTTAAGGCTAAAGTATATTTTTAGTCCCTTAACTTTACATAAAGTTTTATTTTCTTTTTTTAACTTTAAAAAGTTTGTTTAGTCATTTAACTTTAAGATCGTTAGCAAAAAAACAATGATAGTGAGATCTTAAATATTAGTAAAACATTTTAAATGCTAACATATTAAGTTTAATTTTCATAAGAATTAAGATTGTTACCAAAAAAATTATCATTTAATACTAGCGATTTTAGCATTAAAAGACTAAAAATATACTTTTTAAAGTTAAAGGATTAAATTAAAATTTTGTCTAAAAATAAAGAACTAAATTTATACATTATCCAAAGAAACTTTGTCAAGAAATCATCATTCTTTCAATATTTATCAACTTATTCAACATGTACAGATTGTGAATGAATGGAGATATATCCAACTTTAAACCTTCACACTAAGCCCAAACTCTTACCTTGAAATAGCTTATTTTTCCCTTAATATTCTCTCAAGTCCCAACCTTCTTCCAGGCATTTTAGAAGTTCGAGTTCTTGATATTAAAATTCCAAACTTCCTAAAAGGTTGAACAATACTTTTTGTTCCAATGTCTCCGTAAAACAAATAATGCACAAAAAAATGATGACCCGACACGCACTCACCCAACTGATGGCAAAAGTGATGACAGTTTACGTGCAATGGTAAACCCCTTACTCTTGAGTGTTTCACAGACTTTATCATTAGTTTAGAAGCAATGATCATGATTCCTTTAATAAATTGTACTAGGATATTTCTTCTATCCTGTTAATAGCAGATATTATGTATACAGTTTGGGGTGTGTTTAGTTCTCAATACAAAGTTGCAAACCATCAGAACTTGTTTTTGCCGATCCCCAATGGGAAGCCAAACATGCACTAAAATAATAGGCAATATTTTTATTTTTTCCAAAGAAGCTATAGAGATATCAGAATTATTTTATATTATATTTAACATTCAGTGAATAACTTTAGGAGAAAAAGGAGCAACCACAATATAAAGGGATTAGTATTTTTTTAATACAAATCAGTTTAGTAAATATTAAAAGATAAATGAATTTGAGTACTTTAAATAATGCAGAGCTTTGGAAATTATAAAAACAATTAATGTTTTAGATAAAATAACAAAATCTATTTGTTATTTTGTTGGATAATTTGATGAAATCGACCTAAATAATTGAATCTAAGTTTTTTTTTTCATAAAGAAATTCTATATATAGATTATAGATGTTTTCACCTTTTATGAATATTTGTGACATTTTAATATCCAAAGAATTTAATTATGACTTTAATGGGTTAGCATGGCACAGGAAGAAATATTTCGTGAGTGCTCTCATCATGTTGTTTATATTTCTGTTAGTTTAAAATTTTCTACCGTGGAATTATATCTTCTACTCTTTGGATAGATAATACGAAACGATTTTCTTCCTTTCTTTCTTTCCTTGGTTTCAGCAATGGCTTGTTCTGTATTTAAAACATGAGGGAAGAAAGATATCCTTTTCCCCTTTTATTGTGGAACCCAGCAAAAAGGTAAGAGAGGTGCATATCCCAGAACTATTATTAATTCTCGGTTTGAAGAAGACTTGTTTGGATTTGGATTTTGTCAGATTGATAATGATTACAAGATAGTGAGAATTATGGTTCCATATTTATCGATTTGTGACTAGGCCAGTGGAAGAGTATTCACTAAACTCTAATCATGAAAGGAAGTAGAATTTGAAAACTTAAGGGCGTAGCTTCTAGAAGTGATAGACATGCCACTGTTAATGGAGTTGTGTTTCGGATTGGAGGAAAGGGATGTGTGTTAATTCTCAAAAGGTTTATTGAGTATAAGAACAGACTTTCTGTTCCTGTTGGTAACTTTGGAGAAGATAAATCTTATTTGATTCCGGGCATGTTAGATCCAGCGACTACTTGGAAAAATGAAATTGTCTTATGTCATCTTTATCAGTCGAAGTATAATGTATTAAAGCCAACTTGGCAATACTAATGTCGATGAAGTTGGATGTTGAACTTTTATTGTTAGATTACATGTTTACTTGTTTCAAGCACTTTTGGAGGGAATGAAACATAGAATCTCATATCATTATATGTTTTTACTTTTTTAGTTTTTGAATCCTTCTTGCCAAGTGAGGTGGAATTATAATTTACATAGTCTTGATTTGGTAATCTATCCTCTTGTACAAAACTTTTTGATATTCACCGTTAATTAATTTCTACTATCGTTTTAACATTTAAGAAGGTATTAACTCATTCATTAATAGATTACATATTGCTCGAGGGGAAAAAAGGATTACATATTGCTCATTGCATTGGTTGTTATGGCTACCTTAATTAGAGTTTTAATTAACATATCTTTAATTATCTTAGTATTTTCTTCCTTATCATGTTAATTAACAGATATTTTCCACTTGGATATAATCCTCCGATCCTTAATATAGGAGCTATTTAACTAATTTGATTAGATTAAGAAAGTTGGGTAAGTTAGTTAATTATAAGAAATATACATTTTTCTTAAAACACCATAATGATCTTTCTTAATATCCTCCGTCCCTCACTTACTTGATTATGATTGAGAGAGTATTCATGGGCTAATTTAAGAAAAATTGATAAATATGAGAAATATGTCTTATATTTAGGACCAAAATTAACTTAAGAACTAGATCTTATATTAATAACTGAAGGAGGACTAAACTTGATAATTTGTTGATTTTACTGATGGCAAAAAAAATAATAATGTGTTTATTTTACAAGCAATACTTCTTTTTCCTTTAGCTCTTAGCCATTTTACAGGTATTTATTTCGGTCACAAAATATATTTCTTCTGTTACGATTTTCTCTTAACAATAATAAAATTTATCTGTTAATTATGGATATTGCAGGATCCTTCAATATGCTTCAATTCTTCTTATAAACGGAGTCACATAACATCACAAGTTCAGAGCCCTAGCTAGTCGGAGAACAACCTTGTGATACCCTAATATTGATTGCCACGGACGTCTCTCCTCCGAGATTCCTTTTCCAATGGCGGCCACCGTGAATTTGCAGGACAGGAAGGCCCACATAGCCTTTATTCCCAAGGATATTATGGCTAACATTTTCAAAAGATTGCCGGTAAGATCCCTAATTCGGCTTCAATCCGTGTCCAAGGACTGGAAAAATCTGATAAAATGTCTCATCAACACTCCATCTTTCATCGAAGACCACCTCCAACACTCCACATATCGAAACCCTTTCCTTCTCCTTGAACAATACCATCGCAAATTCTGTGGTATTCGACTCAGTGTGCTGGATTGCGATATGCGAGTAGGTAAAGTTCAAAAATTACCTTCGACTTCGATTGATTCTCTTTATAATTTTGAGGTCTTGGGTTCCAGCAATGGCTTGGTCTGTGTTAAGATTGAGAATGGTACAAATCCTCATCCCATTTTGATTTGGAATCCAGCGACTAGAGACATCATGGAGGTGCGCCCCAGAACTGCTGTTCATTCTCACCTTATTCACCATTACGGATTTGGTTTTAGTGCTCTTGGTAATGATTACAAGATAGTAAGAATTAATGTGTTTTATCCATTTGCTATTAAAGCCGTGGAAATGTATTCATTGAATTCTGGGTCATGGAAGGAAATCAACTATGGAAATCTAAGGGGCATAAGAACGAGTACTACAAATATCACTGTTAATGGAGTTATGTTTTGGGCTACAAGTGATGAGAATCGAATTCTTTCAATTGACCTATCAAAGGAAGCGTGTAAATTGATACCAATGCCTTATATACGCTCCTCTCTTAGACGCCTTGTTGAGTATGAGAACAAACTTGCTTTGGTTGCTCCCATAAAAGAACAGGATGGATCTAATTTGATTCATCTCTGGGTGTTGGAGGAGGAGGACACATGTCCATTTGAGGGCGATAGGAGATGGGAGTGGATTAAAGTATACACCGGTAGCTGTTTTACATGCAATTGCTTAAATCCAGTGACTATTTGGAGGAATGAGATTGTCTTACTACCTTCTGATCAGACACAGAATGATCATCAAATGATAAATTTATATTTCCTCAATTTTACTACTAATAAGTTCAAGAGGTTTGATCTTAAATCTTACTCTTACGACTTTGGCCATATAAGGAGAGAAAGACCTGTCTCTTACCCTAAAAGAGACATTGAAATTGCTATTTTTAATTACGTGGAAAGCCTTGTATTAGTCAATGGACATCATTGACTTTGAGGATTTTTTATCCTGAATTTGAATGTTACATTGCAAGTTTACCTCTTTTTTTGGGGGGTCTGAATTGCGGGTTTACTTTAACTAAACAATATTGGTGGGAATCCGCTCAAAATAGCTTATATATATATATTTATATCATAAGCTATCTTTAGTTGTTAAATCCTTCTTGGAACGTTATGAGCGAAATAAACTTTGTTTGGTAACTACCTTCTACACTTTATGTTGTAATGTGTTTTATAATTCTTCCTATAGTTTTAACCTTCTAATTAATTCATAAATTGTACTACTCATTGCATTGGTTCTTATCCTCTAGCTAGAGTAATTTTGTTTAACTTTCTCCTTAACTAATTATTTGTTTTCTTATCATGTTAATAGTTTTCATGAATATCATTCCGATGAAGGATTTTTTTTAAAAAAAAAAAAACTTACCAAGACTCTAATTAAATTTTTACACCACTGTAACCATCAAAACCCTTAAATTCTCCTCTAATTCCAGTTCACCTTATAGTCACTTTATTTTGCTGGATCGAGTGACATGTAAGCCCTTAAAGTTCCAAAATCACTTTTCAACTCATTGTTCTTTGATTTCATTGTTGGCTCTAGCAATGACTCGCTCTGTTTTGAAAATCTATTTAAAATATTTCCTCATTCCTTTTTATTGGGAAAACTAGCAGTTAATTAAAGAGGTCAGGAAGGTGCTCCCGAACTTGGGATTCTTTTTTGTTGTTATTACTATCTAGGATTTGGATTCAGCCCAATTTGTATTTTATTAAATTATATTTGGTTTATGCATGAATATTTCATTTTATTATTCGTGGATTAACATCTTTTTATTTAAATATTACTCGTTTTGAAATTCTATATCAAAATTTTGGCATAATTTCAGATTCCATGGATTCTTGTTGCCCAATAATAAGTCATTTCATATGAAATTTACATATTAAGATCAGAATTTAGATGCAAACCAAATCTATTATTTGGATACTTAAAATTTTATACGTTCATATTTGATCCCAATCCAGGCAAATCTTTTTTATTAGAATTCCTTTACAATTTCGAATACTTAATCCATCGTAATTATTCCAAATCTCAATCGGCCTCTTTTAATAAATACCCAAATATTTGGAGCAGTCACCCAAGTCGGATCTAAAAGGAAAGAGTTGGCAACCACAAGATAAGTGGAGTGGCATTTTCAATTATAGATATTGCAGTGATTCTCAATTCTCAAGCATATGCTTGCATTCTTTCGTTTTTTTTTTCCCCCTTGAAACAAAAAGTAGGGATACATTAATATACTTTAAAATGCATCTTATTATTTAAAATTCGAGAGAAATATTGTTTTCTTCCACATATATATACCCCTAAACGCTCTTTTCTTGGAATTCTTATTCCAAGTTCCCACTGGCGAGCACAGTGAAGCAGTTGTTCACCGAAGAACACTGTTGAGAGGATATCTCCAGTGACTTGGAACCATAATACGAGTGCTATTGTTTTGTATATATTAGATATTAGTTCAGGTAGTTACGATTAGATGTTATAGGATTTTAAATTCTTCAGATATCTTTAGATTACACACAGTTGTATATATATACTATCTCCTGTCCTTAATACACTTAACTAATTTGGGAGGATTAATGAAGTTAGTAAATTACTTTAAAATATTTCTAGAAAAAAATTACTTTAAAATATTTATATTTATTGTTTTTCTCTAAACTAATTTGTCCCTCACTTATAAATTGATATATAAGGAATTTTATCAACTTATTTTTACAACAATATAATTTCAAGTTTCAATTGTAATTGAATGGAGACATATCTAAAAGAACTTGTACCTCTGATCTAAAATTCACACCTTTAACTTGCTTATTTCTCCCATTCTCTCAAGTTCTAGCCTTTCTTCCAAGCGTGGCAAGGAAAAAATACACTTCTTCCAAGCATTAAAGAAGTTCGAGTTCTTGATGTTAAAATTCCAAACGTACTAAAATGTTGATTTATACTTTTTATTCTTTCAATGTTAACAAAAGTGCACCCAACACCTTATCTTATTTTTCCAGTGCACTTAACATTAGATTTTTTTAGTGGTATAATTTTATTCATGATTTATTAAATTTGGTGTAATCTCACCCATTTTTTAATTTTCCTGATATGATTATAATTTGGTTTCTTTGTACAAAAAATTAGGAAAATTTGGTTAAAAAATTCCTATTTGATAATTTAATTGACTAAAATGACCTGAATTTGAGTGAGTATAACTATGATCTGTGAGTACAATATATCTTCGACTGTATGTAACACATCTTCCACTGTGTCAGTGTGCAAATAACTTTCATATTGATAATACATTGTGCACAACAAAAGATATATTGTACCAGCGGATCATAGTTACACTAGCTCAGATTCAGGTCTTTTTAGCTAATTAAAATTTGAAATGGAAATTTTTAGCCATTTTCCCTAAAAATTATTATAATTTGATAATAGAGAATTTTGAGTTAGATTAACGGTAATATTTGAAAATACTCATGGCTTTTGTCCTTTTTCAGTTGAGACTTTTTTGGTTAAAAAATAATGACTTTCATTGCTGGATTTAGGTATTTTATGTATTATTTTGTTGTTGTTGTTGTACGTTGTTGTTATCCTCAATTCTAGATCTCAATATTATCTTTCGATCACCTGTGTTATCTTATCCCTAATATTGACCGCAACGGACCTCTCTCCTCTGAGATCGATTCCTTTTCCAATGGCGGCCACTGTGACGATGCCGGCAACGGAAGCCGACGTGGCCTTTATCCCCAGGGATATCATGGCTAACATGTTCAAAAGACTTCCGGTAAGATCCTTAGCTGTGTGGGCACAGATTGGAAAAATCTGATACATGATCTCATCAAAACTCCGTCTTTCATCGAAGATCACTTCCGCAGTTCCAGCTGTCGAAACCCTTCCTTCCCTTGAACAGTACCATCGCCGATTCCGAGGCATTTCCCTCAGTATGCTGGATTGCGATAAGCGAGTCGAAAATGTTGAAAAATTACCTTCTAGTTATTCTCCTTATAATTATGAGGTCTTGGGTTCCAGCAACGGCTTGGTCTGTGTTCAAATTAAGAATGGTATAAATTCTCATCCCATTTTGATATGGAATCCGGCGACTAGAGACATCATAGATGTGCACCCCAAAACTATTATTCATTCTGACCTTATTGACGAGGTGGGATTTGAGCACTACAGAACTCTTATTGATCCTCAGCTTGATGATTGTTATGGATTTGGATTCAGTCCTCTCGATAATGATTACAAGATAGTGAGAATTAATGAATATAATCATTATCAAATTAAAGCCCTGGAAGTTTATTCATTGAATTCTGGGTCATGGAAGCAAATACACTTTGGAAACAACTTAAGGGGCATATCTACAAGATATAGATATATCACTATTAATGGAGTTATTTATGTTTTGGAAAGCTATGTGGTGCGATGAATGAGTATCTAATACTTCCAATTGACCTATCAAAGGAGGAGGTGTGTAAGTCGATACCAACGCCTCACATATACGGTTTTGCTCGTGCAAGCCTTATTGAGTATGAGAACAAACTTGCTGTGGGTGCTTGCGTTCCTGAAAATGATGGATCTTATTTGATTCATTTGTGGGTGTGGGAGGAGGAGACATACCTATCTGAGGATGAGGACGACGACGAGGAGAGATGTGGATGGACTAAAATATATAGTAGCAGCCCTTCTCCATGGGGGACGTTAAATTCCGTGACTAGCTATTTGGATGAATGAGATTGTCTTGCTACCTTTTGATGAGATTAAAAATGATGGTCAAACAACAATTTTATATCTGCTCAATCTCACTACTAATGAGTTTTAGAGGCTTCCTGTTAGCTCTCACTCGTTCAATTTTGACCGAAAAAGGAAAAGAAGACCTGTCTCTTACCCCAAAGGAGACATTGAGGTTGTGATTTTCAATTACGTGGAAAGCTTTGTGTTAGTAAATCGGCATCATTGACATTGAAGATTTTGATCCTGCATTCGAATTGCAAGTTTACTTTAAACAAACACCTCTTTCGTCATAATTTATTTCTAGTTTTTAAATCCTTCTTCAAAGTTATGAGTGGAATGATAATTTATATAAACCTTGTGTTGTAATTTGTCTTTTGCAATTTCTGTTGTTTAGTGTTTTTTTAATTCTTACTATTGTTTTATAACCTTTGAGGTGTTATTACTTGGTCTGGTAACATGATAGCTACAGAATTGGTCCCAAAAAAAAAATCGTAACTAGGGAAAACAACAGGATATGAGCGCTGATTTATAATTTGGTGGCCAAAAATAGGATTAACATATGAATTCGCGCGCATCAATTAAACGGCCTATTTTTTTTCCCTTTCTTTTTCTTGTTCTCCATTGATATAATGAGATTTTGTACCATGTGGGGTAACAAAAGTGAACTAGAGATTTAAGTATATTGTTTTCTCAATTATAATACGATTTGCCCAGCGAGGGACTTTTACGTTACTATTTCGATTAATTAAATATTCTAAGTTCTTTTACTTGATAGGAGTTTCATTTCATTCATTTTTCGATAAGCTATAGTCATTTCATCATATCATCAATTTTTATATCGAACATATTTAATTTCAGCATCTTCAGTCCAAAAGGAAAAAATTCCAGCATTCCACGAAAATAATCCAAAAATTACAGTAAAAACCAAATCAAATTCAAAATCTAAGCAAACAAGACTAGTTTTATTTGGAAAAAACCATAATTAAATCCGCTTGAAATATTCAAACTCAAATTAAGGCCTGCACTTTTAACAAATTTCTAATTAGGCCAAGAGGCCTCATTAAGGTTTTTTCTAATATTGTTAAAAGACTAAAATACCCTTTCATAATTTAAAATAATATTGTTTTGAGAAAACAAATTAAACCATGAAAACTTGACATTATATAGTTTCTATTTATAAAAAACATTTTACATTGAAAAATTTGGAAATACTACGAGCAAAAAATTGATAATGCATAATATAATATTTTATGCTAACTCTAATATATTGATAAGAAATTTATGGGAACAAGGACTTTTCTTTTTGCAATAGGAACAAGGACCTTTTAATTACTTCATTCCAATACTATTAAATTAATTAATAATTTTTTGAAGGAAATTTTTTTCTTATAGTTAAAAAATCAGAATCTTAAGGTATTAGTAGATTTCCGCATCAAATTTGTCATTTCTTTCTTAAGTGCTTTGCTATGTCTACCATATAAATGTTCTCATCATATTATATTTTATAACATCATTACTAGAATTCATAGTAATAATTAATATGAGTTTGTATTAGAAATCTAAATAGTTTTTCAGCGTTTAATGGGACGAATGGAATAATATGAATTGTTTAATATAAATTTATACAAAAAAATACATTTTAGCCTTTTAACAACATACAAAGCAAGAACATGTGAAGCTGATAAATCATCTAGCAGCATCTCAAGAAAAAAGAAGCTAGCTCAAATTAATTGAAGCAATTTAATTTGCCAACTTAAAATGATATTTCAGTCTTTTAACAACATTCAAAAATTCCTAATAAGGCCCCTTGGCCTAGTTAGGGATTCGTTAAAAGTGTATGTCTTAATTTAAATTTTGATATTTCAATTAGATTTAATTAACTGGGATTCTCCCTATTATTTATACAAAATGTTTGATGAGAATGATCTTAAATATCATATAATGACCAACAAGAGTTTGGTCTAGCGGAATAAGATGGGCCCTCACAATGTTGCAAACCCTCACAATGTTGGCATGTTATGAATCAAGATTTGATATTTAGTACCCGATCCTGTCTTGAATAAGAAAATGTTATGAAACTCTTATTTAAAAAATAGAATTTTGAGTAAGATTTTAATAAAAAGAAGTTAACTATCGTAATAAATTATGGAACAATAATTACTTAAATCAAATAAATTTCGATTGAAATCTACCAAATATCGTAATGAATTAAAATTGAATAAATAAGGAAATTATTTTTAAATTAATCAACATTTAATGACAATCAATACGGAGTAAAATCAACGGTAATATGTCAAAATAATTATGACTTTTTTCCTTTTTTTCGTTAAAATAATAATGACTTTCATTGCTGGATTTAGATATTTTATATATCTCTCTTTTTTTTTTAAATATAATCCTCAATTCAGTTTAGTCTATCTAGATTTTTTTATTCTCAAACTGAAAACAAACAAATACTCTAAATTAGAAATATTATAAAAATAATAATTTTACTCTCATTTCTCATTATTATCTTTCGATCACCTCTGTTATCTTATCCCTAATATTGATTTGATTGTTTTGTTGAAATCCTCTTCGGGTAGATCCAATCAAATTGCGATGGCAAAAAAAAAAAAAAATCCGATAAAACTGGCAACCCCCTTGGGAAAGGGAATCTCCCCACTTCGCATTAGCCTAGAAACCGGTACAACAAAAGCCTTCGCCTTCCCCCGCAAAAGGAGTCACACCATCATAAGTTCAGAACCCTAGTCGGAGACCAGCCTACCGATAGCCTAATATTGACGGCAACGGACATCTCTCCCCTGAGATTCTTTATCCAATGGCGGCCGCTGTGACGATGCCGGAAATGGAAGCCCAGGCAGCCTTTATTCCCAAGGACATCATGGCTAACATTTTCAAAAGACTTTCGGTAAGATCCTTAACTCGCCTTCGATGTGTGTGCACACATTGGAAAAATCTGATAAATGATCTCATCAAGACTCCGTCTTTCATCGAAGATCACTTCAACTATTCTAGCTGTCGAAACCCTTTGCTTCTCCTTGAACAGTACCATCGCAGATTCCGAGGTATCAGCCTCAGAGTGCTGGATTGCGATATGCGAGTCCAAAAAGTTCAAAAATTGCCTTCTACTCATTCTCTTTATGATTTTAAGGTCTTGGGTTCCAGCAATGGCTTGGTCTGTGTTAAAATTGAGAATGGTATAAATCCTCATCCCATTTTGATATGGAATCCCGTGACTAGAGACATCAGAGAGGTGCGACCCAGAACTATTGTTCATTCTGACCTCATTGCCGAGGTAGGATTAGAGTTCTACAGAACTCACATTGATCCTCGTGAGCTTGATGACCGTTATGGATTTGGGTTCAGTCCTCTTGATAATGATTACAAGATAGTGAGAATCAATGAATATAATCATTATGATATCAAAGCCGTGGAAGTTTATTCATTGAATTGCGGGTCATGGAAGCACATAGACGTGGGAGACGACCTAGATGGGATATCAACATTATATAGATATATCACTATTAATGGAGTTATGTTTTGGCAGGTTATGTGGTGCGAAGATGAGTATCTAATACTTCCGATTGACCTGTCAAAGGGGGAAGTGCGTAAGTTGATACCAATGCCTGACATAGGCGGTTTTCGTCGTACAAGCCTTATTGAGTATGAGAACAAACTTGCTGTGGTTGCTTGCGTCGTTGAAGAAGATCATGTATCTATTCTGACTCATTTGTGGGTGATGGAGGAGAACGGCAGGAGATATGGATGGACTAAAATATATACTAGCGGCCTTTCTCCATGGGGGACGTTAGATCCCGTGACTATTTGGATGAATGAGATTGTCTTGCTCCCTTTTCATGAGATTGAGAATGATGGACATGAAACAATTTTATATCTGCTCGATCTCACTGCTAATGAGTTTAAGAGGCTTCCCGTTAGATCTCACTCTTCCAATTTTGACCCAGCAAGGAAAAGAAGACCTCCCTCTTGGATCAAAAGAGATATAGATACTGAGATTTTCAATTACGTGGAAAGCTTTGTATTGGTAAATCGGCATCATTACAATTGAAGAATTTTGATCCTTCATTCAAATTGCAAGTTTACTTTAATCAAACACTTTGAGTTTTAGTGGAAATTCAGGTCATAATTTGTTTATAATTGTTAAATCCTTCTTCAAAGTTATGAGTGGAATAATCATTTAGATAAACTTTGTGTTTCAATCTCACTACTGATCAGCGTAAGACGTTTCCTATAAGATCATATTATCATAATAGAATCAATTTTGAAATTTTCAATTACGTGGAAGTTGGCAATATCAACATCGAAAAAGTTTGATCCTGAATCATAATTGTCAAATTGCAAGTTTACTTGGCTTGTTTCAAGCGCCGGTGGAAATTTAATGAATCCATAATAGCTTATGTCATTTTATGCGTCGTACCGTAAAAACCTTCTTGCAAAGTTATGTGGAATATGATTTACATAAACTTGATTTGATAATATGTTTTATTTTGTAATTTCTTTGATATTCACTGTCACTTAATTCTTACTGTTGTTTTAAGGTTTGAGATATTAATTCATTAGTTAATACATTGCACTACTTAGCTGCCCTCTAAATTAGATTTTTATTTACTCATGCCTAGCTGAGTATTTGTTTCCTTTTCATGTTAATAATTAACAGATGTTCTCCACTGTGATTTAGTAAACTTTATTCATGTTATAAGTAATTCATCTAATTCGACCAACTTTTGTTCAATTTACAGTAAGCTATTTTGATTACAAATATTTCTTTCCGTATGATTAGATCTTTATATTTGAGCCATTCTCTTCTTCGTCTTCTCTCTTCTCTTTTTACTCCCAATCTTTGGTGAACAAACCATCTCTCTGACTGTTCTTCCTTAATCTCTTACCTCTATTTCTTACCCACTAACATCCTCCTCTAATCATCTCTATGGTGACAAGTCCCAAAGCTGCCGCAAACGAAGCCTTGTTGTGAATTTGGCTACTGACCACGTCTCCGTTATTCAGTCTGCTCCACTTCTGCCACCGTCTCCTGTAAACGGAGGTCATCCCGGCGATCTTATGCCGTCTCTGAAGCTTGTGGATTTCTTTCCTCAGCTATAAAACTTGTGTATTTTTGTTGATTGAGCGATTTGGAAGCTACAGACTTGGAAGCGAAGCATATGATCAGCTAAATAATACTCCTCCGGTCCTTAATATAAGACCCATTTAACTAATTTGATTACATTAAGGAAGTTAGGTAAGTTAGTTAATTATAAGAAATGTGACACGTTTTTCCTAAAATACCATAATCATCTTTTTTAATACCTCATTTTCCTCTTCTACTTGATTATGGTTAAAGGAGTATCCATAGGGGTAATTTAGAGAAAATTGATAAATATGAGAAATGGGTCTTATATTTAGGACCAAAACCAACTCACTAATTGGGTCCTATATTAAGGACCGGAGGAGTAATTGGTATATTTTCCTATAATTACTCTACAATATACATGCTCTCTTGTTGTTGTTGTTGTTTTGTTTTTTTTGGTCTCTGGATTTTCTTTCTAATTCGATCCATTTCCCTTTTCCTTATTCAGCTTTATTGTTCCAAACTTTGCTATGTCTCGATAATATGCGCTTGGACTGAAATATTTTTCTTCATAAATGAAAAACACTTCATATAGACCAAAAATTTGTTGGTTTCCTGAATCGAAATCTTTGTACTTGTCCATGCTCATTCAAGATTGATGGTTTTTCCCGGCTGCACAGGAGGGATATTGGGTTCTTAGATAAAAGCCATGCGTCAAGCATGCTCGTACTTTGTGATGACTCACAACTTCCAGATAATGTGATTGTTGAAGATTAAGGAGGCGAAGAATATTGCTGCAATGGCTGTTAGTAGTCCAAGTGCAATGGGAAAAAAATTTGCTCATACAGTGGAGGCCCTGCATAATTCTTTACAGATCAGCGGAGATGGTTTTTCTTAACTAATAGGAGTCAGAAGAGGAGAGAGAAACCTTGCAGAGAATGGGCCGATGATGTGGTGCACTGTGGGCTTTCAAATTGATTAGACGGACAAGATTTAGAGATTCTGAGGGATTAGGAGGGAAACGACGCTCAGAAGATCCGGACCAGTGGAGGGATCGGTATTTTCAATACAAATCATTTTAAAAGTACAAAGCTTTTGAAAGAATAAAAACCAAATGTTTAGTTTTTAGTTGTTAAATCTTTCTTGCAAAGCTATGAGCGGAATGATAATTTATGCAAACTTTGTTTGATAATCAGTCTTCCACAATTTCTGTTGTTTAGTTTTTTTTTTTTTTGCTTTTTTTTTTATTCTTATTGTTCTTTTAATGTTTGAGGCATTATTACTTGATTTGGCAAAACATCGTAATTATAGAAAACAACAGGTTGAGGACTGATTTACATATTGGTGACCTTGTTTAGGGTAAGAGAGAGGTCTTCTTTTCCTTATTATGACTTTTAGTAATTTCCCTTGCTAGACTTATATATTTTTATATGCATGTTTTTACAAAAAAAAAAAAAAAACAATCCTCTTTGATTCGACTTAGTCAAATAGGATCTTTCATTCTCAAAATCGCACCAACCAAATAAATAAATTAAAAATATTACAAAGATATTTTAATTAGAGAAAAGCCTAAAAAAATCGAATCAAGCTTACTTTGGTTTGGTTAGATTTCTGCGCAGTATAGATTTGAAGAGAATACTGACTTCTTCATGCCTGTCGTAATTCTCGATCATATCTTCTAATTAAACAGACTAGAAGAACGTACGGCGGAAAACTCCAGCTTAAGGGTGCTTTCTCTCTACGAACTATTGCCGCTGGAATTGGAATTTGCGCAGAAATAGTTCTAGTTGTTTTCTGGGTGCATGGTTTTGGTAAAAAAAATTTCAGCTCAGACTGCTTTAGAGGCTGAGCGTTTGAGGTTCTAATGTCAAGTGAAAATTTTAACGGTACACAGGTTGGTATTGAAACTGATTGTGAAATACTCCTCCCGCCCTAAATATCATATCCATTTTATAGTGTAATTTATACTATAAAATAGGTCTTATATTAGGACCAGAGGAGTAGTTTAGCATCTAACTTTAGTCTCCATTGTTGGTTTAGAATGGCGGTGCATCCCAGTAATGAACGAAGGAGATTATTGCAATATAATGATTCAGAAGAATGGCAGTGCTTGGTTTGTATGATCTCGTCGAGGCTGAGCAAAACTATGCTAGGGATATTGGCTAGAGGCTTTTAAGAGCTAATTTCTTCTTGTATCAAAAAAGAAAAAACAAAAAAGAAGTGGTGTTGATGATGATGTCGTCCATCATACGTTAAACATGCATTTTATATCCTTCTTCTTTACTTACATTATTCTCTACAAATCTCTGGTCTCTCACTGCCCACTATGGCCCTTGATCCTTCTAATTGTGAGTTCAAGGATGGAGAATCCAAAGAGTTTTGGCAGCCACAACACTAAATTTAGTGGCGAAAAGAAGGAATTTTGCAGCATGAGAGAAAATGGAAAGCTAAAATAATGTCGAAATGAGGAAATATAAAATGGGGATAGAGAAATATAATGTAAATATATGTCTGCTATCATGTGGGGGATAAATAAATAGAGGCATATTTTGAATAAACCAAAAAGAAAAGGGAGTAGTGAGAATTAACTAAAATGATGATAGATTCAACCCTCTAGCCATCATTGCTCCAGCTTATAAATGTGATAACAATCACAAGACCGCAAGAAGATGAGGGGAAAAAAAAGGATTTTTCTCCAATTGAGCCTTCTCTCTCTTTTTCCAAAACAACTTATTGCAATGAACTAAGATGATAGAAGAGCTCTCTACCTTGCCGTCTTTCTTTACTGGGAAATTTTGAGTCTGTTTCTCTAATCCTTACTCTCCTATTTATAGGCTCCACCTAGGATTTTTCCTATTTTTTCCTAAATTTCGTTCTTTTAATTTCTTGAATTATGACTCATAATGTAACTTCCTATTTAAGTACCAAATCATCATCAAATTGTGGTTTTTTTATTTTAATTTTCGTTTTTTATTTTTTCTCATAATGTAACTTCCTATTTGAACACCAAATCATCATTAAATTATGATTTCTTATTTTAATTTTCGTTTTTTATTTTTTTATTGTCATAATCCCAAAATATGTATCTAAATTGAGGAGCTATTCATCTTAAATGAGAAGTCTTTACTTTTATTTTCTGATTTTTCTTATTTCCCTCCTTAATGTGTTCGCCTCATATCTCCTAAATTAGCTTTCAATTCTTATCTCTTATTTTATTGCTGTTTATTGTAAAAGGGATATTTTCTTTTTTTGATTTGTTATGTGGTGAACTTCTCAAACTTAGCCTCCAAGAAAGGATCAAGGAGGATATCAATCTTTTATTGTTCTTTTTTTTCTTCTTCTTTAATTTCAATTACATTTAATAATTTTGTGGGGCCCAAACAAAATTGGGTGTTCACAAATATATCGATGGTTTTTCATATACGCTATGTTTGGTACGGGGTTTTCGGAGGGGAGGGGAGGGAAGTTGCTCCCCTCCCCTTGTTTGGCTGGTATAATTTTTTAGAAGGGGAGGGGAGCTCCTCCCCTCCCCTCGTTTGGTTAAGATGTTTTTTAAAGAGGGGAGGGGTTTTTCTCCCCTCCCCTTCCCTTCTAGCCTCCCCTCCAAAAGTGGGGTTTTTTGGAGGGGAGACGAGAGATGATATTTTAATTCCTTATATGTCCTTTTGATTTGTTAACTTCTAATCAGTCATAAACATTTCTACATAAGAGAGTTTTTTTGAGCATCTAATAAGAGGTTATTAAGATAATTATCTCCAAAATTAGTAAGCATTTGTAAACTTTTTTTCTCTTCTTCTAATTTAAGAGGCCGTTGGTATTTTCTTTCACCTTTAAGGTCTTTTCTCTGATTGAAATCTATCACTTGTGAGTTTTTGTCTTGATATTCTATAAGTGTGTGACTGTATCTTGTAAATCAAAATTAGTGAATTGTATTATATATATAGTTATATCTTAACAAAATAAAAAGTGAGAAAATTAATTTAAATTTTATGAGGCTAAAGTAGTCTGTAACACCCCGAATTTTCTGACTCAGGATGAGCAGAAAAGAGAGAAATTCATTAAAATTATTTATTTGCAAAATAAAGTGGGGAAAATTATGGAATATTGATTTTTAAGAGTTAGAGACATATTGGAAAAGGTATTTCCCCAAAAATAGCTTAAATAATTTTAATAGATAATTTTAAGAGAAAAATGGTTTATTTTCTCTGAAAATTATGGAAAAATACTTAGAGATTTATATTTAATCTGAAATTTTTAGGAAAGTTATTTTATGGGTCAAAGAAGCTAATGGATAAGAAAAATCCATTTATAATATTTTAGTTTAATTTCTGGATATATCTTATATTTCAGAAAAATAGGAGAGGGATAAGATTGGAGGAATAAATATGTTGGAGGGCAAAATGGTCCAAGAACTTTACAACACACGTGCTGCCTTCTCTTTTAGCCACCTGATTCACTCCTCCACTTAATAGCTGATCACCCATGCGGTTAATTCACTTCAGACGGTGTCCAGAGAAAAAGAGATAGAGACGGAGAGCGAGAGAGGAGAGCACGGGAGAAATAGCGTTCAGCGAAACCGGAAGAGCGATCGGAGGCTGTTTTACTACATGCAGTCTTGGATTCTGAGTAAGGTGGGTCTCCTAAACCTCCTCCCATCTTTGTTTACTTGGATTGGTGACTGGTTGGAGCGTTAATGAGGAACGAAGCTTAAGTTTCAGTGGGAGAAACTTTCGATTAAAACTGGAACTTGATGATGATGATAGCTTAATGCTTGTTGACGATGATGGTTCATGGTTTCTAGCTTGCATGTTGATTTTTGTTGCTCCAAGTAAAGGGTGCTCTGTTTTGGGTTTAATCGAATAGGGATTATGTTTTTGAGCTAGGAGGGTTTTTCTTTTGTTCTTGCCGAACTGAGGAAACGTGGTTGATATCTGCGGTTGCATGTGTGCTTACTGGTTGTGTGTTGGAATGGCAGAACCCAACCCCCTGTTTTGTTGAGTTTAGCGTTAGAACTCTAGGTGAAAATGGAAAGACG